TCGCATGGCCCGAAGGGGGTGGCTTCGAGGCAGGGATGGGCAAAATACATGCAAATATGTATCGAAATACAAATACAAAATACTTCGTCAAAAATGTATTTAATTACAAATCTAATTACATTTCCAAAAAAGCATTTAAATACAAGATACAAATACAACCAAAGGTATTTGTTCTTCTCCAAATACTTTTCCAAATACATTCCTCAAGATTTGCGTCAGCGACTTCAGGGCACCTGCAACGGGTTTCTGGGTATCTCATTTTAATTTTGCATCGCACACTCGGGAGTTAGTGTGCGAGGCTCTAGTAACGTAATAGAAATATAATCACAAAAAAAAATGTAATTAGCCTGGACGTAACAGGTGAAAAAAGTACAGAGCTTCAAGCAGCTATTTTTGTCGATTACATTTTGGTATAGACCAACAAAGAACCGAGACGACCAAGAGGCGCAGCACAAGCTAGAGAATTTTTTATTGTTGCAACTCGCACCAGTTACGAAAATCTAGACGACCCGCGCATTTAGAATGTTCCATCAAAAATATGGATGGAAATCAGGCTGGAAAGCGTCACAAGTTGTCACAGGCACTTATTTAGCCAGTCTGCCTGTGAACGTCGATTTCGTCGCTATTCTTGCCCTGGACTAGCACCGTAATCACAAAGTCACTAAACGCTTGTGCTTGATTGAGAGACAGTGCATTCGGTGCAGAACGTAGTTTTCTTCCTGCTTTGGACAGTGACAATAAATTTGAGGGATGTATTTTCGCCCACAAATTTGTTTTTAATTACAATTGTATTTAAAATATCCACGTTTTAGTATTTAAATACGCACGTCAAATACATTACCCAATTTGTAATTAAATACAAATGCAAAATACACAAAGTATTTGAAAAACGTATTTCAAATACTGCCCATGCCTGCTTCGAGGTTAGGTGTGGACGATGTTTTCGGCACGGCATAAGTTGAGTGGAATTTGTTCCGCCGTTAGGGGAAGGCGGGCAGGCAGGAAAGGTAGAAGGAAAGGCATTGCACTGTAGAGTCTGGGGGTATGAACCTCAGTTTTGGTGACACTGGCATTCTGTTTAAACATGATAACCAACATCAAGAGAGATCGTTGAGGCGTATAAATTAAAAACAAAAGAAAATAAAACAGCATCATTTGTCAGCCAACCATCCATAACCCTGCGGGACAGTTAGCCAACTTTTTCAGGTCTAGTGCAGGGGCCGTTTGGCGTCGATAATGATTCTTTTTTATCGTGAAACATTAAAAGTGACGATTATATGAAAGCCAAAAGCATTTTTGTCCTCTCTTTTAAATAAGTGTTTAGTTGACAGTTAGCGCGGTTTTTTTCATTTTTTGTTCTTCGTCCGTCGTCTTTTCGCACTTTTTTATATTATGTTAGACGTGTTTACTTGGTGGGTTTTGCGTTGTCTCGCCATTCAGAAACTAGGGCGGATTCCTCGCGTTATGTCATGAATTTCATAAAGGGTTGCATTTAAAAAAATACAAACCCAGTATTTCTATAGTTATTAAAAAGTTCAAACGCGAACCAAGCCCTGCTGTAGGGACCTTACGTTTCGAAGCCAATTCGCCCTCTATATCAGGGGCGACTACGTCTACGGCCATTGAGCAGTGTCCTTTTCCTCATCAACGGCCATAGCCGTAGTCGCCCCTGAAAAAGAGGCCGAATTGGTTTCGAAACGTAGGGTTCTTATAGAAGGGCTTGGTTGGTGTTCGAACTTTTTAATAATTAATTACTCCGAACCAGACAGATCTCTGTCAAACGTTTACTTTTAAGTATTTCTATAGTAATTGACATCTTAAAAAAAAAAAACACCGGGCGTGACTTACCATGTTCTCGATTTTTTGATCGCGGATCCGTTCTTCGCCGTTCTTAACGGCTAATGCCGCAATATTATCCTGAGTTCGAGGTGGTAATAAAATTTTCGGGACTCACCGCGCCCTGTGCTTCTTGAGCTGTCGGTGGCCATTCAGGGTGTTTCAACTAGCAGTGTCCCAACATTTTGAAAAGGCGTGGTGCTCGCTTCGTATGTCAGACCAACGCAATGTACTGTTCGCACTTCTATTGAAAAATATATATATATATATTTTGCAATATGCAAACTGATTTTTAAACGCAAACTGACAAACTTTAAAATGAAAAAAAAAATATTGCGAGCAAATTGTTTAATACAAAATTTGTAGATCGTGTTGAGAAACATCCTATCGTGTTTTTCTTACCCAGGACGTAGAACCATGTCGTTCATTATTCAGGCACTGAATGAAACTTTATTTGAATGATTCGATCGCATCAAAGGTTCCGCCGCGCTATACGAAAGAACACGAAATTTATTACAGGAACACAGACACGCACGGCATAGCAGTCTGCAATGCCAAATGAGTATACCCATGACCCCGCGTTAAGTAATACGGTGTATATCGCGTTTTTTTTTTTTTTTTTGCAGCAGCCGCCCACAATAGTCTTGCTTCTTCCCGCTTGTGCCGGATACCATTTATTTCTGTTCCTACTACCTTCGTCTTGGATGACGATCTTCTCAGTCTCGCCTCCCTCCAAGCGGAAACAAGGGTTCTTCGTTCGCTATATATGCCCCCCTTCTTATTTCCCTCAAACTAAAAGAAGCATTGTAGACGTTTTTGTAATTCAAAGGAGGGCCTCTTTCGAGGGTTTGATCCTGATAGATGATACCCGAACCCGCGCACGCACCCCCTCCCTCTCTCCTCCCTCCGCTTCGACACATCGTCTTCCCTAACGCCACTCAACAAAATCGGATTCTGCTGAGCTTTCGTCGGGGCCTTTTCACCCCGCTCCCTTCCCCCCGCCCCAAACCTGCTAAGCCTTCTTCACCCCTGGCTCGCTTATAAACACAAACAGAAATTGCAGAGTAAATACAGGAACACACTCGCATAAACTAAACAAAAAAACTCAGAACACATATAGCGCAGAGGACGCTGCGAGCCAAAGGAGCCAATCCAAATGCCGTGTCAGTGTCACGTGACCTTTGGAAGGTGCACAGCGACGCACGGAGAACGTAGTCACGGGATACGTTCGCAGCACTGCATTGGCTGGGATGGGCCGTACCATCCGCTGCGGTTCATCGGAAGGCTAAACGGAGCCTCGATACCGGTAGTGAGGGAGGGGCTGAAGGGGCCCCCTCGGAGGAAGTTGTGTTCCTGCAGGGTGAAACGTTTGCTCTGTCGATTTCGTTCCTGCGGATCTATCGTCGGCTTCCGTCTGTCAGTGTGTTGTTTGCGATGGCTTCAGCCTCCAGATATCTCACTTAACGCCTTGACAAGCCTGGAGTGCAAGCTGTAAATGGGCTGCCCCCCGGTCACGGAAGAGAACGACGCGAATGAAAACTTCTGAGTCGCTCATTACGAGGTGCTGGCTCCATCGAAGCCTCAGCCGCTGTGTGGTCAACGCAGAAGCCTAAACTAGGAGGGTTTTGTTCTCTGGAATTAAACGTGACGGATCGCGAGTTTCACGTTTTTTTTGTGTGTGAGTGTCTGTTTGTTTTTGTGTGATACAAGCAATGACATGCGCGTGAGAAGCGAGAAACCAAACACACTAGATAATTATGTGAAACTCTACACTCTCTCAAAACGTTAAAGATTTCTCGAAATAAAATTGGTTCTGCGGTTTGCAAATATCGGCTAATTAACTCAGTGAGAAAATGGAAATGCTGTGAAGTGTTCAAATAAAACTGAAGAAAGTGGTAATTGATCGCTTACGAAAGTTATCTTTTATAAACCACCTTCAAAAACGGCATTATAATTCGAACTGTTCAAATATAAGGCCACTGTCTTGCTGCACATGCGCAGAAATGTGTGAGAGTCCTCCGTAAATACACCTTATAAAAAAACGCTTTGCTATAAAAAAAAAAAAAAAAAAAAAAAAAAAAAATTACCATGATCCTTGATTGTCAAGATTCTTTTACGTCTGCGTGCTCGGAACCTGATAAGGAAAAGCAATATGCGTTCATTGATGTGAATATTGTTGATAACCTTTAACGAGTGCTTTAATATATTTTTGCTAAATTACCAAAGCGCTAACCTGCGTGCTTCAAGTGACACGCTGCACTTCCTGACGTCTGCAGCCAGTGGCGTAGCCAGGATTTTTTTCGGGAGGGGTTCAACGGCATTCTCCCCCCCCCCCCCCTCCAATGACGCAATACACCTGGTAATTCCAAAGCAGTGTTTTGACTACGTATTATATTTAACGCGGGTGAACCCTTTTTTTTAGTTTGTCCTTGCTTTTTTTTTATTTAAGGTGCGCTTCTTTATCTCAAATGCTGTGATCTTTTCTGTGAACATTGGAGAGAAAAAAATATCAATGCACACAGAAACAATAAAATAATAAATTGGCGTCTCTCAACAAATCGTTCAGAGTGCACAGGGAAGAGGTGATTGCCTCCTCCTGCGCAAAACATAGTTTTCCACATGGAGTAGTCACTTAGCTAAATATAAATGTATTCCCAACATGGACTATGCCAAATAAAAAGAATTACAAACTCGCGAGAAAAATATTTTAAGATCTATTAAAGTTTCGACGAAAACGTGTTGTTTTCTAATAATCATTTACATACAGTTAATAGTAAATATCTTGATGTTGGTTGTCCTTCTGAAACTTAAACCTTAGGCCAGCTTTGAAAGCCGTGGAGCTCTTTGTCCATGCGAATTATTTTGCACATAAAATTAGATATTAAAGCAAAAGCTTGCTCTTAGGGTGTTTTTCTTTTTTTTTTTTTTATTTGTAGGAATATTTATGCCAGTGTAGCGGATAGACTAAGTAAAGGCATTTGTCATTAAGGGCAAGACATTCGAGAACCCAATTTAAAATCGAAACAATCTTTGTTGTCAATTTTGTGTAATACTGCAAATTTACTCGTAATTAATTTTAATATATGACCACGGTGAGAGCTCTGCATCGGATATTATATATTTTTAATTGAAGTGCCGTTCCCTTTTTTCCTTCTTTTCTGCAGGTAATCGGCGGCAGCGGGGATGATTATACAGACGGCGACAACATAGATGTGAGTTGGCGACGTGTTTTCTGGTGCTAGCTACTTGTGTTCATATTGTATTTTAATTTTAATTTTTTCGTGTACTGTGTTTGCTCATATTAAAATAACTTCGAGTTCCAAGAGATTTGTCTGAGATGCTTTTGCTCAAAATTACGCGAAGACATTTTCCAAGTGAGAAGCTCATGTTACATTCTATTTGTGAGAAATGTTTCTACAAACGGAAAGGTTCTGTGCAATAATATTGAAGAAAAAATGAGCACGTAACAAGCTACACCCCAGCAAATAAAGAAAACGTGCATATGCCCTCTTTCGTACCAAATGAGCAAATACAAAAATCAAAGAAAATGTAACCAGCTGCAATTCAGCACAGCTGCATAAATGTGTGAAACGTTTTAAATCTGTAAGTTTTAGCCTTTTAAAAAAGAGTGCTGCAGTAAATGAGAAAAAAAATGTCCCATACATTTTCAATGGGCGTCTAGCACTAACCAGGCGGCGCCGCCACTCTTCGCATGGCAGCACTGTCTTCCGCCACCGGTTTGGAAAACTGCGGTGGTAACAAACACACCGCCTCTAGGCGCCACCAGTGTGATGTTCGTTTGTTGCACACCAGCTAAAACCATATCTCGGCTTTTTCTTTTTTTTTTTCTTTTTTTTTTTGCGTTAGGGCGGTTGTTGAATTGTCGCAACGCGGTGCAGCTCGTATCATGAAACTAAAGTGCCCGAGGCCCATAGACACTTCGTAAACAATAGTCCAATTAAAAAGAAATAGTGATTTGTCTTTTAAAAACAATTTTCTAAATAGCCATTCACAAATAAATAGCTATCACAAAATAGCAATTCTAAATGAGAATGACTTTTAAATGTCTATAGACCACAAAATGAAGCCCACATACGAATACTTTAAAGCTATTTCTTATTAAGATTTTGGGTTTCTACCTAGAGGCTCTAATACATATTCACCACTTGATTAGATATGCCTTGTGATAATACCCGGCGTGCGTTTTGTGCATTACAGGCAGCTCTGTCGCCAATAATATTCAATCGCACAGTTATATAAATGTTAGACTTGCGCGGCTTTTATAAATTGCGCCTCTTTCAGTATGTGTGCATTGCCTAATTTAAAGTGATTCTGACCAGAACTACACCCTGTATATTTACGTGACAAAAATCAAAGCAGGTTTGCGTTTGCCGACTTTTTAAGATGGTGCCATGCCTGTTTTTGCCTCATTATTCAGTATTCTGAAAATCATCATTACAACGATGAATATCAAGAAGGAAGTGGAGATTTTGGTGAGTCATTTTTTGTGTTTGTTGCTGTTACAAACATTGAATATAAAATGGTCAACTGCTGAGAAGCAGTAGTTTACACGATGTTAAATTATATTAATTTTTAATAAATAAAACACACATTGTTAGTTGTCAACTTCACTACTTAGCAAGAAGTTTTTACTTCCTTCAACTTAACCCACATATCCGTGTATGTATCCTCGTATAATAGGTTGTATTCTTGAATGAAAGACCCATTTTTTAAGAAATCTAGAATAATAATAAAGAAACCTTTTTCCGGCACAGAGCAGCAGTTTTTTACCGATGCACATTCAAACAAGAACAAATAGGGAGATGGTTCTTACATTGCTGGTTAATACAAAAAAAAATATTATGCTTACGCAATTTTTGAACAGTCTAGTTGTCTCAGCACCTGGCGGAGGAAGAAATACAAATTTGATTGGCACAATGCCCGACTTCTATGGACAATTTTTCGATAAAGATTTCACCATTTTCATTTAAGGTGCACAATTAAAAATGTATTCGAAATTTTTCATCTAGAAGCAATATTTCTCGTTTAGCTAAGGTATTTCCTAATGTACTCAAAGAAACATCGAGAGATGACTTATGTGTTCGACGAGGGAAATATGTAGTTTTTTCAGTGCTCACTTAAGCGTGCAATGAAGCCAATCTGATCAGTCGAAACATGTTTCCTCGCAAAATACGAAATTCGTATATCCTTATTTAAAGCAAAAACAATATCTAAGATAATAAGTTTCAAGAAATGAAAGTGGTATGGCTGATTCATTCTAAAAATAACATATAATTAATAATCATCGTCACTCTTTCTGCGCGACCGGCGTTCCAAGTTAATCAGAGATATCAAGGCGTCATGACAGGTATTTCTACAGGCGGCTATTTCGCTCGAACGATTCACGACTTTCTTCAAAACCCACATTTAAAACTAGCAATAAAAAAACAAAAACAGTAGAGCATGCATGATAAATCCAACAAGAGCTCTTCACAGTCTCAGAATTGGTTGTTCATTTAGTGTCTGCTGTGCTCCTCTTATTTTTAAAGGGAATATTTAGGAGAAGAGAACAGCAGAACGACGAATCATGATTGGTGCAAACAAACTATTTTTTTAATTATTATTACTTAAAATAGTATTGCTCAGGAATTTTTGCTCGCAAACTAACTTGCCGCGCTGGAATTAAAACGTAATGAACCCTGAACGTCTTGAAAAACAAGCTAGTCAAAGTACAACCAGAGACAAAAGCCAATATGGGATGCAAGTGGACAGGCCTTAGTTTTTGTTTCTGCTTTTGCATTTTGGTTTGTCATATCTTTGTTATGCATTGGCTTAGATAAGGTTTGGGCAGGATTTCTGTGTGTTTGCTTTTCGTTATGTATTTGCGTTTGTTGAATTCGGATGCATGTCTTTGTAAAGTTGATTTGTTTTATCGTTCGTTTTTTGTTGTAAAACAAAAGATGCCATGCCACCAGTTCCACCTCCCCCACCACCTCTTGGTGAGTTGTGAAGTAAATCCGAAACTAGCTTACCTCTTCTCAGTGTTTTCTTTAATATTTTACAATTAAAATTTTATATTTGTAGTTTCATTTCTAGATTTTTCTTCAGCTGTCAAAAGGAAGCATTTGTTAATGTTGAATCTCGGTTAATTTAACATCCTATTTTATAGTTTCCCTGTCTCCAAAAACATAACATGCGCAAAAGTACGCTAAATGAAATGTTCAACTATTTTATATACAGCAGCATTGCTGGCAGCTTTATAGATAACTACTGAAAAGGACTTCTCGATTAAATATTGACATTACAGAAATGTAATGTAGAAACGTCTTCGTGTCACTAAAAATTGGCAAGGCACAATTTATATCAGTGCTGCTTGTACATTGACTTTATCAGCAAACATACAAATCATTAAACCGAACACCATGTTTTTTTATATAAATTTAGTTTCAAAAGATACCAAAGCCAGATTTCTTTTTATGTGAATTTTAATTACCTTGTACTAACACAATTACCCGTCTTGTTGCGTAGATCATAGCGCCAGCAAAGCTACCACAGAAACCTATGATGATGTAAGTATTCCTCTTTATTTTTATACCGAAATTCGTGGCTAACACACTGTAAAAACGCAGGGTTTGACTGACCACCAAGTTACTACTTTATTCCAGACTGGGCCAGTTATAATGTTGAATCCTCCATTTAAACGCACAATATTACTAGTGCCTGCGCTGACAGTGCCCTGCAAAACGCCACCCATCGCAATCCCTTTAATAAAATTAGCCAATGAAGGAGGCTGATGGGTATGCCACTTTAATAGCCATTAAGTCCTAGTGGAAAAAGTGGGTTAATACCTTGTCACCGAGTCTGCACGACCTACTATAGCATACAACTCCTAGAAAACAATGCTGTAGTACTGGTTATGCTTCATCACTTACTGGATGCCAGCGCGTTGGTTACGAGTGCTGCTTCAGCTTTCGGCTGGGAGCCTTGTTCAATTAGAGAGAACGCTGGTCCCATCGAACTCTGACGCAGCCTTTCTGTTCAATCTGTGTTCAGCTTTGGATTCCAGTAGATGACGTAGAAAACTCAGTAATATGGCATGGTTACCTACGTGTTGCTTTAGCGTGTTACTCCTTGGCCCTCTCACTAGCCAAGCACATTAGAAGGTATAAACGACTTGCATTCTGAGTGAGTCGAGGGGGTGTTATATACATGCAGGTATTTGTGAGAATTGCACAGTTAATTTCAAACCAATAAGTGAAATTCAGTACCGAGAGTTGCACTGCGCTTTGTCAGATTTGTGGGTATAATAAAGGGTGTAGGATATAAACCAGTACAACTGTATACTATCCTCCTGAAAAATATCAATGACGAGACATTTTAGAACAGCAATCTAAACCATGTTTCCTGGAACTCTCCAAGCAGCACAGGAAGAACGGATCATATACCTTTTTAATACATAGACACTGAGACACTCAGTGTCCTGTTTACCATGTTCAATGTTCCAAAGCAAACAATATACTGAAAGTAGAAATCTGTTTTTTTTTATTATTATTATTATTATCACTTGATGTGAACCTTTTTGTGAGATCCTACTGATTGATTCCTTGTGTGCCCTCTTTACGAGTACCTAGTATTATTTAAAATCAACTGACGCCTCAAATCCTCAGCATACCTACTGCCCCACAAGGGCCTGTTGTTCTGCGAGTACATATGCGTGAACAGTTTCAAATGATTTCCTCCTGCCTTTTGTTTTTGTTTTGTTTTTTTCGGGGTCAGATTGACAACGATGAAATTACGGAGGATTTCCTAATGGTTAACGGCTCTTCACTAAACTCAAAGGTAACCTCGCTTTGGTGGCCTCCGATTATAGATCATTCACCTGCTTCTCATCGCAAGCATCGGCGAATCTACTTCAAAGAGAAAAACGCTTCGCTTTGCTTGTGCAACTCATCAGGACCATGGCTGCATCATTATACCCTAGCTTATTTTCGGATTATTTTTATAATATGTGCTCTATCTGCTCATCACCCATGGCTTTTTTAAAGTAAACAGCTTTGTAAGAGCATGAGTGTTCTCATTACTAGCATAATTAAGCGCATAATTTCCCTCTTTTTTTTTTCTTTCTTGCTATGGTCTCAGGGAAGAACTCTAGCACCCAGAGCAGATGGTGGATTGCATGGCAACGACTTCGAAATAACCGAGGTAAGCTTGTCCAAGGCTATGTAGAGCGAAGTTCGTCTGCTTCTTGCACAGAGGTTGCAATGATGTCAGAACGCCGAGCTCTTATTGGTTGATTGAAAAGAAATAGTGGGTAGACCTCAAGGCATCCAGCATTGAGGACTACCCACTGTCCTTTCTATCAAAGCCAATCAGAGCTCGGTGTCGTTCTGACGTCATCGCCACTCCTGCGCAAGTAGCAGACGACTTGCTCTCCGTATAGTCTTGTCCAACTACAGGTTTTGTATAAATGGCATACGAAGACCCTACAACAAAAAAGGCAGCATTCCGCATCACGGTGATGATCAGGATTACATATGGTGCCAGCCTTTGTCCAATAACCTATTGCCATGTTTACGCTTGATATCTTTATTAAAGGCAGCGTAGAAGAATAATTTTGTGCGTTTAACCCATATCAAGAGTGACGAAGGAAATGCATGCACATTTTTTTCCTTTTTAATGCCTATAGCAATCTACTTCGTTTTTTTTTTTCTTCACCACAACCCAAGATGAAACCTATAGGATTCACTAAATAATAAACGAAGAAATTTGCACGCATAAAAACTTTAGGTACATGTACACTAAGTACGCGCTCATCTTACAGAAATCACAGGAGACGCTGCACAACCTTGTCTATACAGTTAGGTAGCTCGTGTGAACTTCGTTAGACGGTAGACATAATAATACTATCATGTTATATCTTAGCTCTCGCTAAGATATAACATGATAGTGCAAATTCCTTGAATGGATACTATGTCTTGAAATTAGCAGCAGAAAAAAAATATAATTATCTAAATGTTTCAAATTTTAGTCAGACGACGCGAACGTTTGAATATGATTTAAGCTGTAAAATACAAGATGCTTTATTCAACTCATTACGTCTCCGAAAGCGCACACGGGTAACCTGGCCACACACTCTCATCATTTCCGTCAATGCAGCAATATCTTCAATATATTTTAATAAGCTTACTGAAGATTAACGATGTCGCGTAATTACCACGTTGTAGACACGCGACTAAAGAGTTTTATTTTTTAATCTATAATGTATTAAGCCACTAAAAATCACGCCTTCCAGCTTCGCTTCCTTGGTATTGAAACCGTGCGATGAGACAATGGCGCCACGTTGCGGCTCCTAGCAGAAGTATTTATCATAAATATCGTGTGTAGCAAGCCAAACATAGTTTGTAAGGAAGGTCAGCTTACCTGAACACAGCGCTATACAAAACGCTCGCGGCCACAGTCGGCGCTAACAATTTTTCACACAAGAACTGGTAAATAAGAACAGGGTCCCCTCCATGCGCCGGTGAAAGCAGCCGCGATCATCTCAATCCCAGTACGTCTACTCGATCCGCCAGTGAACGAAGAGCAATCTGATAATAAGATGAGCAAAACAAAATTATCATGTAGATTTTAGCGATTACTGGCACCAGTGAATGTCGTCTCACGGTGATTTCCGGACCGTCGAACACACGCGCGCTTCGTAAAGGCATAATTGAGCGCAGATAAACGAAAGGCATGGCGGTGTGTTGCCATCGCTGTCGCTTACAACTGCGACTAAAGTCTGGCTCCGAGCAACTCTTGCGGGGAGAACACACAGAGAGAAACGCTGGATGTATAGATAAATTTTTAAATTTCAAGATGCCAAACCTTTAATCCACAGCGAGATCGAACGGGGCAGCGCTTCACTGTGGGACGTAACGCGGACGCTGTTCTTGGTGGCGTTGCCAAACCGCTGCCAAGGCGGAGCGGCGCGCCGGTTTAGGTCTTGTCATATAGGAATGTTTGATCCACAAGCTGCCAATGAGTGTTATTTATTTTTTTTCTTAATTAGCATCGGTCGCAAGATCTTGTGCACCTGAGTTTTTTCCATGTGCAATGTGAACTAATCTACATATTTGAAATGTTTCATATTTTTTTTTTTTCTCAGCCGGACAGCATTTGCTACTGCCCGAGCAACAATCTCACCATAGCCCGTGGACCACCGGGATTGGACGGACGGGACGGAGCAACGGGATTGCCGGTAATAAAAAATAATCTGTATTCTTTTTTTGTGTGTTTTGTTTATCACTTGTCCGCAGTGTAAACCTTGCGATATTTGACTGACTTCAAAAAATTAAACTGATTGTAGGAAGAAAGTAATCATACTGAATTTACTACAATTTTTTTTTCTTTTCATGGTCGATTTAGATTATGATTCTGTTGCACGCAAGGTGTGATCTTATACGTGATGCAATCTTGAATGACGTTTTCTATTGCCCAAATGCAACCTCTTTGAGAGGCTCGTGCCGACCCGTTTGGAGAAATCTGTTAACTTTCTGATGCAACAATTGGGCCATCCTTTGTGTTTCCTCTACTTCAAGACTGGAACCCTGAAAAAAGGTATTTAAAACATTAGACGCTTCCATCAAACAAAAAAATATATATATTGCCACACCCTGAGTCAGTATAACTAAAACTGCATCGAACGATCTGTCCCAGGTGAACATAATCTGTAGCTGGAGCATCGCTGTCACTGATCTACGGTACCTGCGAGTTAACTCCTATTGAGCGAGAGGAATGGTATAACAATAAGCGTATAAAATAACAATCATCAAATCTATACCAGTGTATTCTATGCAGCAGCTTCTTCTGTTCTCATAAGACTAATCGGTTTGAAGTCATCAATCAAACTTAATTTGTAGGTGTGTTCAATGTCCGGCCAAACAGCTTGCTGTACTCCGGGTGTAAGACGCAGTCGCTTACGGAGGCCGCGAGAATCACCCTGTAACGATGCCTTCACTTTCTCCCTTAAAACCTTGACGGAACACCAGCGGGCAAGCCTCGAAGCCTGCACCGAACTCTCCACAACATAGTCGTAAATCAGCGGCCTCTCGCGGGGAGTTAGAGAGATAAGAGAACCACACCTCCGAACAAATGGAACCTCGGCAGCACGCTTATCGCCGGCAGGTGCTTTCAGCTGCGAATAAATCACGCTTTCTTTTTTTTTTGTTTTTGAATCCGAGGTCACTTTGGTGGCCCCCTTTTTTAAAGATCTTGATCGTGCCGGGCACGTGTGAGAGTCTGTTTGTGTTTCTATGCATTACATGCGCTCTTTATAGATGAAGCTTGGTGTTTTTTGGATGTTCTGTGTCGTGCGCTAATCGTGAACTTGGAAGACGGTCGACTTAATTTTATGCCTCCTAAATTTGGGGGCAGAAAATATAGCATAAAGTAATGAAAAGGCTATCAAAACGAAGCTCATCCACATGACAAGCGCAGTAAATATATCTTTGGTGCAATTTTTCTAGTTTTATTCGCAGACCTTATGGTCTATTTGACTACAGCAGATAAGGTATCCCGCGACCCACCAAGGTCATATCAACCTACAACGCAAACCCTTCCCACTTTTTCAACCTCATACATGCGCTCGCACTGGGGCTTTTTAAACTCCGAATTCTGCTATAGCTCTTAAACACTAAACTGAGTGTCAAAATTCCAGAATTCATTGCTTGAATTCCAATACATTTGGAAATTTATTGCATTATCGCAGGCGTCCGCGTCAATGGAATATGTGTTGCTGTTTTGAATATCTTCTAATCAAATTCTCGCAATAATTAAAACAAGCAAGATTTATATTTATAAAGTTACATGCCCATCTTTGCTCTGAACCTTCAAGCAAAATGTACTCAAAATCAACCGTTTAAGACGTGTTTAATATATTGTGAGCAATACATGTTCAATAATTTGAAAATTCCATTTTTTTTTTTTTTTTTTTTTTGCCGGAAAGCAGTGACAAGGACAACACAAAGCATGAATTTACTACTTTAAAAAAAAATATTTGATGACTCTCTATTTAAAATTATGAAATACCTGTGATTAAGGAACATATGGGACCTTGAAGTTGCCTTCTGCGCTCCGGGCTACAATCTAGAATGGCCTTGATGGGTCGGATAGGATGTATCGCATTGAATCACCAAAAATCATATTCACCATGAATATGCCAGATTTGTTAGCTAAATTTATGATGGCAAAATAAAGTTTTCAGGAGATTCCTTTCCACACCCTGCATATACGAATGCACTGAATACTGATATAATATAAATGAAAAATTGGCCTGCAGTCTCAGGTGATGCCGGTTCAACGTTTACGTTTAGGCACTAAAGAAAAAATGAGCTCGAGTGCGTTCTACCGGCGCACGTAAAGCCCCCCTCGCCATGGTTCTGACAATGATACCTTGGCACTTCAGGCTGTTACTCTGGATTGGACTGAGTCCGTTGTCAAATACAATCTTTTTTAGTACTTATTTGCGAGTAACTGTTCAGAAAGTAGTTCATATAGTCATTTATACATGTCAATTTGAGTGAAGTGCAGGCATATTCATCCAAAAGTTTTGAATGGTGGCTCCATTGTGACCAGAAAGCAATGAGCTTCTATTCTTGTGAGTTTCGCTCCAATCATGGATAAGTATGAGCGGAATGGAGTTCTTGATGTAAATACCGCGAGGTACCTGGCAGTCGCTTAAATTCGGAGAATGAATCGAGAGTTGCTGCAGAACTTTTGGTCTTTCTGTTTGCAAGCAGTTAATGCTTAAAAAGGGTTGATAAGTACTTGTGTGTCGCTACGACATTGTGTACTTGCCCTTTAGAATATGCAAGCTTTGGTGTAGCTTCTACGTTGTTCTTCTGTTTGTTCCGACTGCTTGAACTGTCTTCTAATTTGTGACCGTCTTAGTGTCAGACTGGTGGAGTGCGTTCCAGCACTGCCCTGGTGTTTCCGCGTTATTTTTTTTTTATTTCAACTGTGCCAGCACTAGTAATTAGGGGTTGTTCCTAGACACTCAAATAAATACTGATTGACTGATTGAGTATTATTATTATTATTATTATTATTATTATTATACATGAGAAACTCTTCCGGTATAGGCGCATTGAATCTGACAAAAGGTCGGTACTTCTATTGTCTTGGACCGCATGTGGAGAGCAAAACATTATAATCCGCGGGTGGAGCCAAGGCAAGACCGAGACCAAGAAACCTACCATTATCAAAAGTAATTGATCTCTATATCAAATACTCGACCGAGACATGCACCGAATTCAAAGGACGCGAGACGACATGCTCGAGAACAGCAGCAGAGATAGAAGCTTTGTGTGAAAGCTTTTGGTACCTGATTTTTGAGTAAGCAGGAGCCAGAGCTCAAAAAGTCAAATGTTGCGTACTTTGCGGGAATCCAGGCACGCGTTAATTTTGTAAGCAATGCTGGCTGGCTCTACCCGAGCAAATGATCCTATGTGAGCACCTACTAACTTTCGAGCACACTGCGTCCAACGCTGTTTTGGGAAGATTTTGCGACAACCCCTTTCAGCCTTTCGATAACGTGAGCGTAGCAGTTGCGGTGAGTTGAAACAAAAGAGAACACGTCGTTCTTTCTGTGCGGTATTTCATAGGGACCACCGGGACCGAGAGGCCTGCAAGGGGTACCAGGACCGGAAGGACCTGTCGGACCTCAGGTGAATTGGAAGCACCATAAACTTCCCAATCTCATGCAATAATATTTTTTCAGCAAGCACCGCAGGCGCAGTGCGAGAAATCTATAGTAGGAAACCATGACGTGTGGCTAAATAAAAGTTGGATAATTTTATATCCCTCATTCCTCTCAGCCACTGAAGGGAAATAGGAACATAAAAATACAAAAGTTATATTTATCCGCTTGTCAAGGTTCCTCATTAGTCTCAAAACAAACGTTTTAAATAAGGATATAAAATTCTAAAGTCATATATGTAAACCTAACTAAGTGCATAACTATTAATCGTAAAGGAATTTAAGACTGGAGGACTAAAATAGGAGAAGTACAAAAAAAAATGAAAGCCGTTTACAACTCCCTGTAACGCCGAATTAGAGCGCAGCTCTTGAGGAGGAGGAGCGGAAGGTACGGAGAGGGGGTTATACCCGTCCTCCTCTCCTGCTCGGCCCCATTTAGCGGAAAATTTTCCGCTAAATTTAACGGAAAACATTCCCTACTAAATTTAGCGGGGAAAATTTTCCGCTAGATTTAGTGGGGGAAATTCTCTGCTAGATTTAGCGGGGAAATTTTTCCGCTAAATTTAGCGGGGAAATTTATTTATCATGCACCGCGCGGTTACGCCGTCGGCGACGCCGTCGCCGCTCAAGCCGGAAGCGGGCGCCTAATGGTACGTTTACACTTGAGCAGAAATCCGCTGCCGCGAAAACGGATCCGCTCCCGGCGGCGGCGGCGACGAGAGGGTCGCGTTTACATCTATTTCCTTCGAGCGGCGGTCTTTATTATGTAAAGGACATTTTCTGCCTGTAAGACATTTTGTTTCCCTAGCTATTCTTTTTTCGTTAATAATCAAATCATATGGGGAGAACGTGTTTTCCATAATTATAATTCATATAAAACTCCTAAGGCATTTACTGACGTGATGATTGATCTTGATGGCTCCTTGTTTGCTGCGCAAGACTCATCTCTCAAAATGCTTCGCCACTGCAGTTTAAATGATATATCTTTCATAGCATGACACTAAAAAAAAAATTCTGGTAGTTTTGTTTTTTTGCAGCACCCGGATCCCAGCCAAAGAGCAGGATGTTCCACCTGCTCATTGCCCCTGCGCACATCATATATGTCAGGAAAAATCGTATCTCTAGCTTTCTTATTCACTGGGGTTCTATTGCTTTCTGTGGTTGGCTGCCTTCGTGTTCTGGAAACAAAGCGAAGTTGGGGGGAGGGGAAGGGGGGGGGGGGGGGGAGGCGTGTATACGTTTCTTGTATCTAATCGGACCTTCATAAAGGCAATCGAGCTCACTTAATTTCCGGAATGTCAGGGGCCAGCGGGACCACCGGGACCCGCTGGTACTGCCGGCGTCGATGGGATTCCTGGTAGCCCAGGCCCACGTGGACTACCGGGACCGCCAGGACAACCAGGACCATCTGCTCCGCCCATCTTTGACGTGAGCCCCGCGAATGTTCATTTCTCATTTCATTAGTTGGTATTTAATATTCAGATCCATTTACAGATTCTCTATAATTTGACAACATACTCGTAAAAATATCGAAGAGGTCTCTCAAATAACCGTCCTCTTCTTCCCCATCCGGTACTGGTCCTTACCGTAAAGCGCCACTCACCGACCTGTTATGCACGAGCTCGGCCGACTGCATATCCTTAGGACGCCGCGTTTTGTAATGTCTGCTGAAAGACGGAAATAGAACTCAGTGCGTGGTTGCATTTCTTTATTCGATCTTTCTCACGTGATTTGAAACGTAGTGGCGCCAGTGTGCAAATAGCCCCCAACGTTTTCCGGTACTGAACTAGGCGGTGGGTTACGCAGTACTTCCGAAATCAAATATACACGCTATCTTCTCTAAATGGACACTTATAGCGCTGTAAGACTTGATTCACTCTTATGATAAAAGAATGACGAGTAAAAAATTCGGAAATATACGCGAACTGGAAGTGTGGCGGGGCGACCCAAGAGATGGCGCCCCTGAGTTCGTTGCCAAACGAAAAATGGCGAATATTGAAGTAATCAGAACAAGCTAATCTGAACCACTTGATAATCATTCACATCCTATGAGACACAATGCGTGGCAAGTGATAATAATTACATTATCTCTGGGTAGCCAATGAGATGACGGCCACGCCCGATGAAATGAAACAGGAGACAAATCCGATGCAAGGAACAACATAATGATTATTAGTGGCGCCGTCTTGTTATTAAGTCGTCAGTTATGATAGAGTATTGCACACTATCACACACTTTAAGGTAGAGACGTCTTCACGTTGTTTTAAGCGTGATGCGTCGGGAGTTAGAAAAACTTCCTTTTCACGCTGAGCTTTGCTTAAATTCCAGGCGTATTCGTATAGGAATAAATACGTGACAAGACGTTTGAAAGTGAAGTGAACTTTGCACATCCGGCACGACGAAAAACGTACAATGAAAGAGCCTTGCCCTAGATACGCTGAATGATTTGTCATTTCTCATGACGAACTTATAACCGCTATTTTTTTTCGAACTGAACACAAATAAGCAAGCGTCGAGTCTACATGATCCCACATCGCTAAAAGGCCCCTATCAAATAGTACCAGAGACAAGCGAGCTAATAAATATGCCCGCTACGCTATCTGGTTCAGCTTAATTCACCGACCTAACTACGCCAAAAGAGGCACACCTTGAAGCTCTGCGGTTCAGGCTTCGCTAGCGGAAGCCTATTCTGAAGCACTTCATACTCAGGTGGCATCCTTAAGTGGCAGCGTAGAGGTGACCATGGTGCCAAAATAGTTTCTAAGACCACACTACTAAGGTATTCGCACAAAGAAATTGTGTTTCAGCATTTTATGCAACAGCTAAATTACGCAAATTAACTCCCGTACTCTTGCCCTTTTTCTATGGTAGGTTAGGACTTGTTTTTCTGACAAGCTCTCTCCGAGTCTCCAATGAACTTAATCGTTCCTCTATTCCACTCCTCTCATAGACCGTGATTTCTCAGTGTATGTGTATTTATCACATCGTTACAATATAAAGTTGCAGACGTTAGCTGAGCTCTAACAGATACGACTTTTAAATACACACTTACACGTTGAATTTCATAAACGTGCCAGAAACCAGTATTGGTTGTCTTTCCACGAACTACTGCACCCCACAAAATATACCCCCATCAATCCCCTATAGTTGATGAAATTCTCCACACATTCACGACGTTGAATGTGTGGAGTAACACTGCAAAAAGCTAGAGGTTAGAAGCGACTAAACCACGAGTCTAAAGACTGTGGCACATCCTTCACAATGAAGACAAAGGCTAACCGCTCATCCACACTGGAAGCAGATCCGCGTTCGCAAAGCGGTTGCGAACACGGTTGTATAAACATCCAGTACAATTGCACGCGCACTCGATGACATCGAATGCGCGTGCAATTGTACTGAATCTTTATACAACCGCGTTCTCAACCGCTTTGCAAACGCGGATCCGCTTCCAGTGTGAATGAGCGGTTACAGTGTATTATGAGTTCATTTTCTTCAGACATTGTCCAATCCCCTAAAAAGCACCGGTATCTGAGGGAGGTTTAGTAAGAAAAGACCATCAAATGCCTCGCTGAGTCTTCATCATTAAAGGCTTACAAGTCGAAGGCTTTGTTAACCATTTGCTGCAGATTGACAACGGCTACTCATCAGGCCTGTTCAGCGGAACGAGCCCGTACGCCGGACGGCCCGGTCCGAGTGGACCCCAGGGTCTTCCAGGTCCAAGGGGACACACGGGACCTAAGGGAGAGCCAGGACCCCCCGGACCCCGAGGATACGAGGGAGAGCAAGTGAGTTCCCGAATCATTGCACTGGGGACGCCCTTTTCTTTGATGTTACCCATGCACGTGTCCTGCATGGTTCATCGTACTCGTCAACTTAATGTGCGGTAATATACCGGGTGAAACAAGGAGACGGTAGGCTCTTTAAATCGACCGGAAAATTCGGTTTCTTAACCTATCGCGCTACGACTTTGTGCAGCGTTGCCCACAGATGGTGCATTTTTTTCGTAAAATTTGCAAAGAGCGAACTTACCTGAGGAAAAAGAAAAGAAAGAAAAAGGCTTAGCTCCTATGGAAACGCAGCGACGCCTCCGGTCTGCAAACAAAACGGCGCCGCTTCGCACGGGAGACAAGAGATGGCGCAAGCGGTCGCGACGCCAACTGCCACCAACGAACAAGCAGACAAGGAACTGCAGTTCGTTACCGCGCCTGTTTTTGTTTCTGCGACTGTCGCCGCCTGCGGAACGCGCGTCGCTTGAGTCGAAAAGATTGTCTGCTAAAGACGCTGGCTCTCGGCGCCGTATGCTCGTTCGTTGGCGGCGTTCGTTGCGCCATCTCTTGTGTCCAGTGCGAAGCGGCGCCGTTTTGTTTGCAGGCCGGAGGCGTCGCTGCGTTTCCATAGAAGCTAAGCCTTTTTCTTTCTTTACTTTTTCCTCAGGTAAGTTCGCTCTTTGCAACTTTTACGAAAAAAATGCACCATCTGTGGGCAACGCTGCACAAAGTCGTAGCGCGATAGGTTAAGAAACCGAATTTTCCGGTCGATTTAAAGAGCCTACCGTCTCCTTGTTTCACCCGGTAGTTCGAAAGTTGAAACACACTTACGTGATACAAGAGCGATGAAGTTATAATTTTTCGACCAGTTGTAGAAAATTCAACCATAGAGTCCCTTTGGAATTCTTGATTTATTATATATATATATATATATATATATATAGGGAGAGAGGGTGGTTCAAGTCACCAGGCTCGATCTAAAATGGACCCTAAAAGTCGGCGCCTGCACGTTGTATTCTAAACTTTTCGTGAAAGGTGTAATTTACAGGTCGCTTTTTTTTATTGTTTTTTTTTTTTTGTAAAATTACAAAGCGTAGCTCTCTTTCTGTAAAAAAATAAGGCCAAGAAACTTGCCAGGGTCTACGGCGGGCAGCACACAGACGACAGGGGTTCAGTACATAGAGTTATTACAAGAAACGCTAGAGACTCAGCTGGCGCTAGTGTCTACGGGACTTCCGGTTGCAAATTGAAGAAGACAACATGCAGTCTACATTTCCAGCCTCCCTGTGTATACACATGGAAAAACGCGCGTGAATTTTGTCTCTTTGCCGGAAAATAACATGAATAACTTTTGTCATTTCGGTTGTACCGGATAGTATGTACCTTTATTGGTATTGTGAAAGTGTATTTGCTTTATTTACAGCATTTTTCTTTACCACTGAAAGATGTTAAACTTCGCTCTATTTTAGGCCCAAACCTCTGTTGCAAGGAAGGTATGTAAAAACGAGCGACGATTGTAAGCAAACTAACGATCGAAAGGAATGTAGAGTGTGTTCAAGGTTTGCTAGTATTTCGGTGGTGCTTATATATTGCTAATATGCTCGTCCTGTCATTGGATGAAAATGACTCCGTCGTGCATCTTTACGATCGGTTAAAAAAACATTCGAACGCAAAAAATAAAGCAAGTGAGCTACGAAAGGTGTGTTTTTTTATTATTTCCTATGTTGGGCAGTTTTTATCGGGCACCTGCTCTCTGGCTTCCCCTATTCGCAAAGATTTGGAGCGTGCGGGTGATGAGTTGAACCCAGAACAGGCATCTTCGCACATATTCATGAGCAGAAAAAATAAAGCAGTACTTATTAATTGCAAATCTGACTATATTACGTCGCTTTCAATTCATTTTGATCGTCTGCATGCACAAAGAGTTACCTATCCAGTGTTACTGCGTAGTTCTTGCCGTCTCTCTTAGTTTTCCACATGTCCTTCGTTCGTTTGGCACGTATATCCCCAATGCTGGAAAGCGTCGACGCCGTGTTCGTGCTAACAGTGTCCGACAGTGCACATAAATACACGTACGAAGCGGTTTTAGCACCGTTTTTCATGCCACAAATTTTAAATAAAAATGCTGTAACTGACCAATTATTTCGTTTGCGTGACTGAGAAATGTTCCAATGTGCCTAGTACGTACAAATTATTCGTAATCGTAATCTTTATTGGCTCAGGAGAGCCGTGGCACCGCGGAAAGGCGACAGCCCGTACCATGGAGGCCCGCGGTGCCACGTCTAGTGATGATGATTATGAGATAATATATACAAGGGAGGACCGACGCGGTCTTCTCAACATCGCAAGCACCGTAGCTTGAAGGTTTGGGGTTTGCCAAGGCACTTCTACCAGCTGTAAGAAGTGTCTGGGCAAAGGGTGGTGTCCGGAGGCTTCACCGTGCGTTGCGGCTGGGAAAGCCTTGGTGGTTTGATGGTGTTGAAGACGACGTGCTCTTCTGATCCGCCGTACGAGTCTTGGAGGTACGGCGGCGGTTCAGGCCAGTAGGCAAGCGAGCCAAGGTGACCTTCGGTAGGCTTTTCCATGGACGTTCTGGATGGTGAAGCCCTGGCGGTTGATGGTGCGCTCCCTCGCTTCGTTGAAGGCAGCGGCTCCAGGTGGTGGCCCAGTCAAAGTAGACGGCTGCCAACCCCGCTGCTGCCACCTCCGACGTCCAGGGCTAGAACGTAGCGCCGCGGTCACCCGGCGTAGCTTCCCGCTTCTCTGCGCTCTTATAATCGAGCGCAGAGAGAAAATGCACTCGCTTTTTCCCATAGAAATGCATTACCGGAAGTCAATTTCTGACTGCTTGCCGTCTGCTTTAAAATGCAACATCACACTAGCGCCACCTGAACCTCTAGCGTTTATTGTAATAACTCTATGGTTCAATAGCGGGGTGTGTTCGGCGTTCGTATCGATAGATGGCGCTACCTCCTTATCGCGACGGCTCGCGACCACCGTGGTTTATAAAATGGATGTAATCTTTTTGAAATAAAACTTCGGTTAAAAAATAAATGCGAACAATAAAAGGAAAACTTAAAGTAAAAAAAAAAACGCGTCTGCTCAACGCCGGCGCTTTTGCTGCCAACGGATTTGGTCTGCGTGTCGTCTGCTATCTTTCGCTGGCCGGCTGCTCCTTCAGACGCTGCTCCCGACGCCATCTATCAATACGAACACCAAACAGACCCTGCTAGCGGACTTGGTCGTCTGGGTCGTCGCCCGCCGTAGACCCTGGCAAGTTTCTTGGACCTATTTTTTACTAAAAGATAACTACGCTTTGTAATTTCACAAGAAAAAACCGACCTGTGAAATACACATTTGACGAGAAGTTTAGATGGCTACGTGCAGGCGTCGATTTTTACGGTCCATTTTAAATCGAGCCCGGTGACTTGAACCACCCTATATATATAGGGTGGTTCAAGTTACCAGGCTCGATCTAAAATGGACCGTAAAAATCGACATCCGCACGTAGCAATTTATACTTTTCGTCAAAGGTGTATTTCACAGGTCGGTTTTTTCTTGTAAAATTGTAAAGCGTAGTTCGCTTTCTGTAAAAAATAGGGCCAAGAAACTTGCCAGGGTCTACGGCGGGCGATGACCCAGACGACCAAGTCCAGCAGCGGAGTGTGTTTGGCGTTCGTATTGATAGAAGGCGTCGGGAGTAGCGTCCGAAGGTGCAGCCGACCAGCGAAAGAAAGCAGACGACACGCAGACGAAATCCGTTGGCAGCAAAAGCGCCGTCTTATGCAGACGCGTTTTTTTTTTTTTTAAGTTTTGCTTTTATCGTCCGCATTTATTTTTTAACCGAAGGTACATTTGAAAAAGATCATGTTCCTTTTAATAAAGCACGGTGGTCGCGAGCCGTCTCGATAAGGAGGTAGCGCCATCTATCAACACGAACGCCAAACACTCCCCGCTACTGGACCCATGTCGTCTGCGTCGCTGCCCGCCGTAGACCCTGGCAAGTTTCTTGGCCTTATTTCTTAAAGAAAGAGAGCTACGCTTTGTAATCTTACAAGAAAGAACCGGCCTGTGGAATACACCTTTGACGAAAAGTTTAGATTGCTACGCGCACGTATCGATTTTTACGGTCCATTTTAGATCGAGCCTGGTGACTTGAACCACCCTATATATACCGTGCCGTCCTCTACATTTTAACACGAGTAAGGACCTGGTTTCGCACGGTGTGACCAATAAATATATTTACAATGCAAAATATAGTGCTATATTTACAAAAGGAAGATGCATTTCGATTGCAAAATTATTAACTAGAGTAGTTATGATCTGCCCGACCTCCTAAGAGTGTTCCTAGAAATAAATCAGTAAATGCGCTAGAATGGTAGTCATATATGAGCTAAACATCGGCTGGAAATTATTCAAATAATGTTGTTCATATTTGAAGAGCTTCGAGACTGGGGAAACCAGAAAAAAAAAAGGGGACACCACTCTGTCAACTTTTTTACGTTTTCTTCAGTTTCGAGGTTTTTCAAAGATGAATCGCCACCAGCTCGACTGTTGTTAAAGTATTTTTATCAAAGTTGTCGCTTTTTTTCTTTTTATCTAGGACTTTTGTTAACTGATATGTTGGCAACCGATTAAATAAAACAACATCTCGCAGGGTTCCTCTGGCAGTCCTGGACCACGAGGTGAACGAGGTTATCCTGGAGCCACGGGACTACCTGGACAAAAAGGAGCGACTGGCAATGAAGGGCCCAAAGGTCAAAAGGTATCAATGAAGAGCCGCAACAAGAAAAGCACTCGGCACTGATAAAAAAAATTTCAGATGTATCGATCAAACCGTCATATGCAGAAGTGACTTTTAGGAGAAACGCGGCGGACGTTAGCGTCCAGTCTCGAACTTCCTGACACGCGCCGCCGTGTCTGCTCCAAGTGTCACTTCGCGTTCCTTTCCTACCGCTCTTTTTCTTGTTGTTTCCAAAATATTTAAGCGACTAACCAATTTGTTTTGTGAGTCGCGGGGTTGCCTTTATTTTTTTTATTTTGTCGTTTAGAACAATTGGGGAGCTAGACAACTGTCCTAGCTCACTTCGACACGCCACGTGCACTTACGGAGGCTCGCGAAATTTGTGTTAGTTTTCGTAAAAATCCAATTAGCGGCGAGATGTTTTGGCTCCTATGGTTCCCCCTCGTGATGTCATTACCTTGCAAACACCAAGTTCAATGGTGTTTGTAAATAGCAAGGTAGAAGCTTGAAATTCTTGCGCTCTCAAAGGAACACTGCCAACACCGTCAAAATTAAAGTTCTTTCATTCCTCTTATTTCCGTCGATGATAAATCCTTTTCTGACGTCATGGTCAGCGTTCGACCAATTGTGGAAGGCCGACCACAGCGACGCTTTCGGTCGCGCACGTCGCCAATAGGTCTATTGCTATACTACCCAAGCATCAAGGAGAATGCAGGGATTGGTGTTGCACGCGCCGCACGTGCTGGCGTCCGCAGTAGTAACTTTTCTAAAGAAAATACTTAAAACAAATGGCATCTTGCACGCGCGTTCGTCAACGCTTTATTTCGGTTATTTACTTCGAGTCTTTTATACGAAAAAGGCGTGTGCGTGTGGCGCGTGGAACACCAATCCCTGCATTCTCCTTGATCCTTGGGTAGTATAGCAATAGGTCTATAGACCTCTTGCTGAATAGACCTGCTAAATTATCAAAGCACAAATGAACACGCTGCGAGAGTAGTCAGACGCGCTGCACATGCTGGCGTCTGCAGCAGTAACTGTTCTAAACCAAAAGTCTAAAATATATGGAATCTTGCACGCGCGTTCGCCAACGCTCTTTTTTGGTTATTTACTTCCAATATTTTATACGGCGAATGCGAGCTCGTGCGGGCCCTGATGCTTGGGTAATTCAGAAATGGGTTTATTCTGCAGTAAAACACTTAGAAAGCCAACAGTGATTGGAAAGCACGAACCGTAATTTGCAGCCAATGCATCATACGTTGGCTTCACTACTAAATAGAAACCGTCTAGACAACTGAGATATATGTTCCCTGACAAAAGCTGAGCTGTACATGCGTCTCATATAAACGGAATTTATTTGTATCGTGCGTTGTTTGTTTGTTTCTGTTTTTGTTTTTTGGAGGGGGGTAAGATATTTTGCACAACTTTTCGTTCTCACTTTGGTGTGCTTAATTGTGTTTTTTGGGTGCACGCCTAGGTTGGTTGGCAGAAGTCTACAATTTATAACGAACGTTGTGAATATTTTTCTATTTCCTCTTATTTAATTTTTATATTTCTGCCAAATCGTTGTACTTGTTTTGCAATAGGGCCCTTGACCCAGTCAAGTTACCTCATGGTAGCTTTTCGTCTGGAGGCCCGTTAGGGTAATTTCCTGTAAATAAACATTTAATTTAATTTCAACTAAAAAACATCATGAATTACGCTTTTCCTTAGCTCAAAATGCACCAGCCAGATTTTGTTGAATCCAAATTTCATCAATCAAAGGTGGTTGTAGGTATTATTATATCGGCTTAGGCTTGCACCTACATTGCTGCTTTGAAGAGTGTTTGATGTCACTCAAAAAGCTAAACATTCCGACTTTAGACTAATTAATTGGTCTAAAGTCGGAATGTTTAGCTTTTTGAGTGACATCTTGCTTGAATACTTCTTGAATACTTCTTTCTTTTACTATGACTTAAGTCATAGTAAAAGAAAGAAGTATTCAAGCAGACAGATGCCATGCATGCGTCACTTAATGTGTTGATAATTTTGGGCAACCTAGAGGTGAGGAACTTTAAAAATTGAAGTAACCATTTCAAGAATAAATAAACATACAGTAAGAAAACAGAAAAAAAGTTTTTCGCAGCATTGTATTGAGTGACTTAAAAAAAAAAGGTTGATAACAAAAGAGCATTCGAAATTGATCAGTATTATGCCTCGAAATAACGCTACCTACTGCAGCAGGTAACAGAGCAGGAGTGTGATGGGACAATTAACGAACTAATTACCTCCATTTCGCTAGATGGCTTTACAGATGTTTTTCTTAGCGTCTTATCTGGCACATATTCTTTAGCCCGTCGTTAGGATGGGTAGTAGCAGTTCTTAGAGTTCAGAAGGGAAAACTTTTCGTGTTATTCAGTGGCGCCCCCAGACCAAAACAATGTAAAAGAAAATTCCAAAACTCGGTTTTTTAAGAGGCCAGAATACGACGATTCTTTACTGAGACCACATGACCCAGAGGTGATGCGCCACAACCGCATATTGGTTCACAAACCGTCGCTACTAGGTCAATCGTGGATCTTAGGAACGAATATTTTGTTGATCTCATGCGCCTTTTTTGTTTCGGTATTTCGGGCCCTTGAGACTTTAAATTGGCCACTACATAGCACAAAGCAAAAATTTAGTTTTTTTTTTGTTTATTATTTAACAACTTCCCAAGTCCTATCTTGAAAATTCTGGTTGGAACGTGCCAGCTAATTGGTGATTTTGAGGTATCTAGTTGCGCTGGTAGATATTATGTCACACTTATACCTTAACGTGGGCTGCGGCCGATAGCTCTACGAGATATTCCTTGCAGACTGCGAAGAACAGCTTCGGTTATAAAGACATGAGTAGGTGAGGTGTATTCTGTGCCTTTTCTGCATTTCCTCGGTTCTGAGTTTTAGTAATCACGATCATAGTTTCTCCTCTGCGAGTGCCCTGTAGTCTTTCTAAAACGTTCTGCAACATTCTATTTTTTTTTTATGACAGTAGATTGAAACTACTTTCTTCGCTTTCTCTTCAGCGCTAACTATATAAGTACTGCGGATACAGAAATACACGTGAACTTGACAAAGTCGATGTCACGTGACAGGGAGATGCCGGAGTAGGACTTCCAGGACCCCCTGGCCCACCGGGGAACGTGTACGCCGTTCCGCACGACAGCGACCTGGAATTCGGCAGCGGGTCGCTATCCTTCATGCCTGGGCCTAAGGTAAGTTTCGAGGAATCCAGAAGGACAGGAACCCCAGCCCTTATGCTTAACGGAACACTGGACTCCCCAAAGACATTTTTTTTTAGTACATGGATAAAACAGGTCTCTATCAAAGCTCCGAATTATAAAAAGGCCGAACATCGAAACGTCGAAAAATCAAAACCCCGAAAATTTAAAACGACGAAAAATCAAAATGCCGCAATCTCAAATCGCCGTAAATCAAAACGACGAAAAGTGGGAATGCTTACATATCTGATCACCCATTTTTGGGCGATCAGACATGTATGAGCTTAGTTTGCATGATTTTTGTTGTGTTTTATAAAACCTCTAGTCTTTCAGGTGGCACTCAACTATCAATTCCATTAGAGTGAAATGCTTCGTTGCCATCAGATAGTCGTGCCTGTGTGTCATGCACAGCACATTGTAGGGCAACAAGGATTTTAGCGTGTAGTACAGCAAAGTACTGCAGGTCAAACAGATGTAAAATTTTACTTTTGCTATCTCTAGTGCGTATCAGTCAGACAATAGACTTCTGGTTGGTCAGAACAGAAAGCAGAGCTGCACGGTGCATACGCAAGAATGACAGAGGAGTGCGCAGCATTACTTTGGTGGTTTACGAACGGAATATACCAGGCCGTGGTTGTCGTATATTCTCAAGGGGAAAAACAAATCTTAGCTGCGAATTCGATGGTTACGTGTACGCGCTTGGCGAAGACCTTGGGTAGAAGGCAATACTGGAGGTGTGAAAAACGAAAGGAGTGCAACGCCTGACTGAATATGGATCATTCCCGAGATGATATTCCCCAAAGTGTTTCAAAAACACTGCCCCGTTGAATTTACACGCCGGATGTCCTCAGGGTTATGGTTCTTCGTGTGCGAGAGGAGATGAGGGCCCATGCGGCATGCTCAGGTCAGGCTGCCTTGTACAGCAGATCACGGCTAGCGTAACAGCGTCTTCGTCACTGCGCGTATACCAAGTAACGAAGCCTTGCGCCAGCTTGTGAGATGGAAGAAAAAAGCCGCCTGTCCACGCGAGCCTGCTTAGCAGCTCAACATGGAATGCGAGATCTAGACCGAGATGGACAGGAGTACCTGCGTTGCGCACATGTGGAGATGAAGCTGGTCGCCCAATTTATTTTACGGACAATAACCTGAAGCAACTGAAAGACGCTGAACTGTGGTTGGTGGATGTTAAGACCGTGTCGCCGCCCTTTGAGCAGATGCAGTACACAATTCATGATTTTGTCCATCGTTGCGTGCATCCTCTCGTCTACTACCACTTGACGAGACGAACACAAGTGACGTACGAGGTACTCTCCGAACAAGTGCTTAATTTCGCAGCAGAACCTGGACTTGCACTAAATCTGAAGATTGAAAGCACGAACTTTGAATTGACAGCAATCAACGCAGTTTGGTCACTTCTCCCGTTCTAAGTTCCACCCGTGCCAGTCAATATGGAGGAGAGTACAGAAGTTAGGACTGACAGCGCTCCATAAAGCTGATCTGGATTGCTTTGCGGTTAGGGTGAGGCGCTTTTTTTTTGTGTTCCTGCAAATTGAAGGCGTACACGCGTGCCTGAAACCACTCTTCTCACAAAAGACAACTGCGTTAAGAAAAAAAAAAGAAACACAGCATGCAATAAACAAGAACAAGAAAACGTCTCTTCTGGTTTCTCAAGTAAACCCTCGGGGGGAGGGGGAGGGGGCGGGGGGGGGGGGGGGGGGGGGGGGGGGGAGAGGGGAGGTATAAAACATTATATTTTGTAATTTTCAGTCGTTTGTGCTGTATGGTTCTGCCAACTGAGTTTTCGGCCTTTGTCGTCTTCCGGCATTTTGATTTTCGCCATTTTGTTTTTTCGGCTTTTTAATTTTTTATGTTTCGATTTTCGGCGTTTCGATAATCCGGCATTTTAATTTTTGGCATTTCGGACGCCTCCTGGATACAACATGTATGTCACAAAAAAAAATTATAAAAAAATATACGCAATATTTACTTCAGAGCTTCATTTTTAGCTAGGAGCGATTTCGCTCCTTTTCGTTTTGAGAAATCGATCCTCAAAGTAGAAGCATGTTTAGGAATCTCCGCAAACTCAAAATATTTCTCGCCACGTAATTAATGCGCAAAGTTTTCTTTCTTTCTATTTTTCGTGTAAAGGGGGGGTACGTTTATTTTGTGGCATACTTGTCCTACCCAGTAACAGAATAAAAAGTTTCCAAGAGTTATGTGTCCCTTTAAACAAAGCATTTTTTTTTTCTTTTTTTTTATTGTAGCTAGCAAGTCGCTAGGTACCGAAAATTTTTTCTTCAGGTTCAGAAAGTATGAAGCCGGCATTTGTTCCCTTTTATTTTCACACGTCGTTGTCATTCATTTTCTACCCTGCCTCCCGCAAGCAGATGCTTAGGCACACGCCGTACTTCAAGTATAGGAAGTATTCACTGGCGGACATAGTTGTGTGCGCGACTGCTGAGCGCGTGCTGATGGCGAGCTTCCGCAGTTCTTTTGTAACGTGCATTCCGCACCCTCAAGGTTGCCGGTCTTAGCAGCCTATTAATGTGGACTCGTTCTGAGCATGCGCTCTAGGCAGCACCCACAAATATGGCGCCCAGTGAATACTCCTTATACTTTCTGAGGAAATCAATACATTAGATCACGATTATTTCTCGGTGGTGGATAATTTGCTCGCTCTAGCTCGCACAACGGAAACGCTTGTGAAAATGGCGTTTCCGCTTTGATAAAAAGAAAAAAATACAAAATATTTTCATCGACACACCCTTGGTAAAAAGCATTACACTAATAGTACATTAACGGTGTACTTTTATGATGCACGTCGCAAATATAAAAACTATATTTTTAGTTTCCTAATAGTATATGAAACATATTTTAGCATGAACACCCAAATGCAAGACAGGGTCAAAGCGTGAACCACACTGCTACAACATAAGGTACACTAAAAATACAAACAGTATAATTAAAATAGGCTTAGGTATATTAAACATATGCTTCAGGTGTATTTTTATTATAGGCAAGTACAACGTTAGTATGTCTAATTTGTATTGATTTTTCTAAAGGGAATTGTCCCTTGAGCAACCAAAAAGGTCAAGGAATCAAACTTACGTCACGATCAGGTAATCTCATCAGGAGAGAAAAATTACTCATGGTATTTCACTGCTATCTGCCGTTTTATTCATTTTATAACTGCGCCCTTTTTAAATTATTTACTCTGTTTTGCCTATTTCCAACCTTTATTGACGTGAGATTGAACCATCCGAAAAAACATTTCAGAACATATTTTTGGGCGAATTTCGCTCAGCAATAATCTGATTATGCGGAACACTAATCTCATCGTAAATTTGACGAGCTAAACTTGCAGGAGAAGTTTTCGCCCTGAAGATTTCTGCAGTCTTGTTCAGGCCAAAGACCTGTTAAAGTGTAGTCAAGTTTGTCAGTGGCAATGCATTGTCCAATTTTCATTAACCTTCCCATAAACTTTGTAGTACGTTGAGGGACAAATATAAACAAACAACAAGTTAATGAATCTTGTATTTATTATAATTTTATAGGGGTGCCGTTCATTCTCACACGCTGGTACGACTTCCTTTACGAAATCAATAGTATTATACGAACTAAAAATTACGGCTTTTCAAGTTTAGGTAAGACACGGCTTTTTTTAAGCACTGAAGACACTATAGAAGCTAAGTTATTTAGAAAACCTTCGGCTGCCGCTCTGAGGCCTCCAGAAGGGTCACCTTAAAGCTCTTCATACTAGCTCCGACTACGTGCTACGTAAATTAATTTAAGTTCTATCTCTCACCGACAATTCCCCGATGCTGTAGAACTTGCATAACTGGATATACAGCAAAATCCGCAGCATCATAAAATCCAAATTTAATCTTATTTTTTTAGATCTTTTCTTTTGAGTCTGTGCAGTTTTAGTTTTATTCGTTGAACGTTTGGCGTGCAGTAATTAAGCCCTTTGGGGTCTGAAAATATCGCGCCCGTGGGGCGCGATGTTTCTCTAAATAGAAACTCTGCTGTGGTGTCCATCTAGGGCGAAAAAGGCGACATGGGCTTCGAGGGACCCGTCGGGCCTCCTGGTAAAGATGGTGCCAAGGTAAGAGACTGCCGCTGACTCGGGATTTCGGACTATCTGCAGATCGGACGAGAACAACGTAAAAAGACGAATTGCGCACTAGCAACCTTCACTCATTCATTCACTCGTTCATATACCCTTAAAGGCTCCGAAGGGCATTACGTAAAGCGGGCCGGGGGCGGGGGCGGGGGGGGGGGGGGGGGGGGGAGGTGGCATACAAAGTGAGCAGATACATATGGAACATTATACAAAAATAAACAACGAAGGGAAAGAAATAAAACATTCCTGGACAAGCAGTGGCCACACAAAAGACGATCTCAGTTCCGTATTTATTATTGACTGCATTTCTAAAAACATATGGGTCACCGATGTTAACTATGTTGTCATGCAGATCGTTCCATTCTACTATGGCAAGTGGAATAAATGAGTCGTTAAAAGTGAAGGTGAAACCGCGCATACGTCGTAGTTCAAATGGCGTCGAGATGAACGATGGGGGTTGACCATATGATCACGAAAAGAAAACAACACCCGTTGTGGTTTTATTTTTGTTTTTTTGTATTAATCATAAAATTGCTTATTAGTCATTTTGTAGACCATTTTTGTATGTACAGTACGTCTCCCAAAAACGATAGAAAACATATTGTAAAAATTCGGTATTTTCTCATCTAGCATAGAAAGTAGGATATGACCGCATCCTATACTAGCTCTGTAGTACATAAAACATGGTCAAGGAATAGGACTTATTTCAGGTCAGCGGCTTACTAGAATGTCAGTCTGTGGGCCCCTTCGAATTTTACTTGATATGACGAACTGTAATTAGCATTTGGCAAGGCGCGTCGATCACTCTTTCTGTTGGTATCCACTCTCCCGTAACACCGATTTGGGTCGTGCTTGTTGAATGGTGATATAAACACGAAGTTGTTGGGGATAGCGTATAATTGAGTACAGTAAACAAGTAAATAACAGCATTTTTTTTCTGCTTTCTCGTCCAGAGCTCGGAATACAAAATAGTTGTTTTAGTTCAGTACACTTAGGTTATTTCTAGTTTTCTCACACACGCTGTATTGTGCTCGCGCGTCCATGCAATCAACCGTACAGGGCGAACCAGGGAGGGATGGTACTGACGGTCTGAATGGAGCCAAAGGTGAGCGAGGGGACCCTGGAGTCATCCACTACCAAGAGATCGATGGCGAGACCATAGTACATCAGGTAAGCCCCAAGTGAAATTGCGATACATTGTTTCCTACACAAGATATTTCTTGGAAATTACTCTTGCCGCAACAGACATGCCTGGTATGGCGGGAAACGCACTGGCCCATATGACGGGATGGTTCTCCAATTTAGAAAGACTATAAAACATTTTGAAACACGAACTCGATATTTTATTTCAACATGTCAATAACGTTACTCCTCCCGTCTACGGCGCAATAAAGCGAAACGAATACTGAACTATCAAGTTATTTGTAAACGCCATGGCAAGGCGTCAGAGCACAGTGAGCAATATACGCCGTTAATCTGCGGGCCTTGTGTACGTAAAGGGGCACAAAAAGACATACACTATTTATACTCATCATTGGCGGGTGGAATATTCACTTATAGGCTACCAAGCCTCAAATTCGTTAGCGCTGATAAATTACCTGAAGATCTTTAGGTCGCAGTATAACCACGCATCTCTCTGCGAGGCATCGCATCGTCGCAGAATGCCCCGCAGGCGCTGCTCTGTGAGAGACTCAATACGGATCCTTCGTGTCTGTTCTCATTGTTCGAACGAGTTTGGACGGTGAGAGACAAAGGCAGCTGGCCTTTGCGTTCCACCATTTAAATCAGAGGTCGACTCCCCGACGTTTCCCCGCGCTTAATTCCATCCTCTCCCCCATTCTCTCAGTGTATATGCTTTCAGTAGTGCAAGAAACCGCTTTGCTGTATCTATGTTCCACTTAGTGTAATGGTAAGCTGCAGTACAAAATATGTCGTAAAACATTCATGGATACAAGATATCGGTCGAGTAAACTACAATCAAGCTTTGGCATATCCCCCAGAGAAGGTGTTGCAGTGCATATGTCCGTTTTACGAAGAGCTTAGTATGTATACAAGGATCATAACCGATTTAAGGTTATGGCCCTTGTAGAAAAGCAGCCAAGTCATTTTTTCCGACACTATGGAACAGCAACGGGATCTTCGAACTCTGCTTATGCGAGGCTGGTGCTGCACTATATGTTAGATATGGCTCAACGGATAGCTCTTATATGCGTGCCACTGTAGAGGAACTCCTCCTTTTCATAGCAATGCACCCTCGCCCAGGTTAATTTTATGCCTCTACTGAATGAAAAAGTCAGTCGTTATTTTACAAAAGTCATGATGGCACTAGAATGTTCAATACCATGAGGAAAATAGAAATCTAAAATCTTCTTCTTGACCTTCCAGAAAGGCGACAAAGGTGACAAAGGCCGCAGGGGCAAGAGAGGCCCCCCGGGACCACCGGGACCTCCCGGATTTGTCGGCGAGTTTGGACAAACGGTGCGCAACATCTGACATTTGTTAAAAAATAATGAAAAACCTTCCGTCTTGATACGAGGCCAAAAATATTTGACGTTAGATATCATGCATTTAAATCCCAGTCCCGTCGATTTCGATAAGGAACGATCGTTGCACCGGCGTTCATCCCAGTAATTGTAGTTTGATGTACTAATGTCTGTTAGAACCCCCACTCTGGCCAAATTGAATATTTACAAAAGAAACATATCGAACGCAGGTATGAGGCAGAAGGCCTTCCTGCGGTGTAAAAAACTTTTGGAACTATCTTGACTTTGGAATGCGAAACGGACGAAGTACGAACCGCCGCGTTGGCGAGAAAAGAAGGCATAAGAGACGCGCTTCGGCCACTCTCTCAATTGAATGTCTGTATCGTGCCCTACATTGTGCACGCTCGGCGGCAGTCATTGGTGTCAGTGTTGTACACGTTCCTCAAAAAAAGGAACGAAAGCTCGTTCCTCGTTCCTTCTGATTTTTGGAACGCGTTCCCGTTACAAGTTCCATCTGTGAAAAAGGAACTCGTTCCCGTTACAACGTAAAAAATGGAACGTATCGTTACATATACGTTACATTTGTGGTTTGCTAATTACCATATTTAGTTAAATCAAGCAAAGATTGTTTTCTTTTTTATCTATCCCATCAATACGCAACATACGATACGGCATGATTGTAAACCTGAGACTGGGGCAGAAAAGAGAACACAACAGAAGGTAGTAAAAGGAGAGGCAACGTCTCAATTGAGACGTTGCCTCCCCTTTTACTACCTTCTGTTGTGTTCTCTTTTCTGCCCCAGTCTCAGGTTTACAATCATGTTCAACTTACACCAGCTCGCCTGCACTCTGACTATTTTTTCGTATACGATACGAGTTTGTATGTCGCGATGGAAGGGCACCAGAAGAAGAAAACAAGTGGAAGCCGGGTTTTATTTGTTGATATATTCAAGTTAAAAATCTCAGCTTTTAACCACATTCATGTTTGTAGTGGACGATTGAGACGAGCCAAATGTAGCCACAATGCACGAGCGTTTTACAACAACCTCACACGTTTCAATTTAACAAAGTCCCTTGTTAGAACTTAACAACAGTTGCTTCTCGATGTTGCTGTCCGCAAGACGAGCAAGTACAGGAGCGGGTATGGATTTTTGAAGGTCAGTCTTGAAAACTACAAATACTTCTTTGTGAAGGCTGGATTTGTTGTTCAGTTTGAAGGTAGGGGACAAGAGAAGAAATAAAGGTTATTTTTTGTGTATTTTTTAAGTGACCAATGTTCGGGATACAGGGTGCGTTACATGTCTGGCAACCTGTGATCTTGTTGTAACTGTAGGTTTCGTTAGGGAAGTTCAGAAATGGCTGCAGTTGGCCTTAGATTTCTGGGTTTTGGTGTATGAGGGTTCGTGAAACCAAAAAAAAGTAGTCGAGTTTGAAATGACCCTCTTTGTTTTTTCCTACGACTAAAAGCTTTGCTTTTTGTGCCGCAGTTTCGGGCACTCAAAAGAGTCAATGTCCACCAGCCCTCCTGCACCCAAAACTATTAGCAATCAAGGACCACACAAAATTATCCATAAGACTAGCAGTCAAATAGTTAACGAGATCCTGCACTTCGTAAAGATATTGTTTTTGTATTGTAAAAATTTCCCTGTTATAAATAAAATAAAAACTACCCCACTGGACGAAAAAAAGGAACGCCGTTACTCTTTCCGTTCCAGTAAAAATGTGACGCGTTCCCGTTCCAGTTCCAGCGATGCAAAATGGAACGGCGGCGTTCCTTCGTTACTCCTAAAAGGAACGCGTTCCAGGAACGCCGTTCCTTGGAACGCCGTTCCGTACAACACTGGTGTAAATGAATCACGATATGAAAGTGAATTGGTTAATAATGAAAGACCGCTAAATGTCTGCCAAAGTACATCTGTTGTGGCGAGACAATAAGCAATATAACTAGTCAAATGGTCCGCGTCCTAAAGTAAGCCTCGTTTCGAGCGGAACAAGTTATATGATTCACAAGTTTTTTCATGATCAGCAAAAATCGACGCTGATACTACCTTATGTTTAAAAAAGAAATGTGCCTGTCTTTCCAGCATGGTAAGAACTCCAACTACTCAGATTGATAGGAAGTGAGTCGCCTAGGTTGAAGCCGCTGTGCCCTCAAAGTGCAAGCCGTACTTTCGCCAGTTGCGGCGACTTTACAATACCAAATTGTAGTTCGCATTTTTGAACCAACAACTCCGTTGGGTTCTCAGGTACAGATTTCCCCGAATAAATAATAAGAAAATCTTTCAGATTGCTTGGCTTAGGTTGCTTTCCTCAAGAAATGCAACCCGTGTTTTCGTGCAGATACAAATTACCTCGCACAAACTGTGCCGAACATGACTCAGCAGCCGAACATGACAGAAAGTGCATGTCGCCGCCAAAACTTTCATTCATCTGCCCCCGTTATCAATTAGATATATAGGAACAACCCTTCTAAAAATCGCAAAACCGCGAGGAGACTTTACGTGTTCGTTTCGCTGTCATTTGAATCTTGAGGCTAGTAAGTGAATTCAAAGCACCATCTCTACAACCATTCCTGCCTTTCTGACTCATGCTGACACAGTTGTGTTTTTTGTGGGTTTTTTTTTTTTTTTTTCCTGCTTACCGCGTAGTGGACAGAGCTGAAGGCGTGGTCCTGACGTTCACATAAGTCTGCGTCCCGATTAAGTAAGGGAAATAAATCCCTTTTTTTTTCGCTTCGTCAGATGAGCCACGGCCTGCCGGGTCCTAAGGGTGAGCCGGGAGAGTCCATCAAGGGCAGTAAGGGAGACGCTGGTCCTCCAGGGCCGCCTGGATCCACTAGCTACATCGGGAGCGTGAGTGCATCTGCTTTTGTGGTTTCCACGCTTTAAAAGAGGTGTCGTGTGCACGATGTGCATCTCAAATATAAGTCAAGTTATTTAAACAATGGAGGGTGAGGAAAACCAGGACAACACATCACGACCATCAAGCTTGGAGATTCGTGTCGTGTTGTAACGTGATACGACGTCCGACAGGTCGTACGGCGCGCCGTATATATAATCCGATCAGGCCCCGGCCAATCGAGGCATCGATTTTGTTCACGTGGCGCCGTGATTGGCCGGTGCTTGGTTGGATTCGGCAATCTTTACCACGCGCCGTATTACCCGTTGGATGTTTCGTCGTGCTTGTGTCTCGCGCTTATCGGATCTAGCATATGTAACGCTACATCCAAGTAGCTAGAGCTGATAATATTAAACCTATATTATGTCAGATCCGATCATATTGAAATATTGAATTTAAAATGCTTAATCGTAAAGCGTTCAATTACACTGGTCGAGTTACTCTGCACTCTTAAAAATGCCCATAGCAAATCTTATGGCGATGATATCTGCGTTAGTGCCCCTTCCCTGGCACTGACAGAGGGGTATTCTTAGGTATAGCCCAAAACAACCCATTCCCGTTTGAACCCGTCCCGACCTTCCCGTTTAAACCCGTCCCGTTTCAACCCATTCCCGAAACGACCTTCCCGTTTGAACCTGTCCCGTTTCAACCCGTTCCCGAAACGCCCTTCTTATATGCATCCGTAGCCGAAACACCCATTACGTTTGAGTCCGTCCTGTTTAAACCCATTGGTACAAAGCCCCACACATCTCAACCTCTTCGCGAAAAGTCTTCATCGTTCTAAGCCTGGTTTGCCCACATTTTCTCCTTAAGAATAGGTTCCGAAATTTTGCTTATGCAATTAATGGAAAGGTGCCGGCGAGCTATTTAGTTATGTTGTGAACTAGTTTTTACTGTCAACGTATCCTTAAACTATACGTCACTTTCCGACAAGCTCCAACGAAATATATTTCTACTTGAACCACTTGAAATGCTTCTTTCAAAATTGTCGCCAAAATGGGGAACTACGAAACGCGACAACCTTACAGCGTACACGATGTTGACGACTTTTTAAATGTTACTACGAAATGGTGTTAGGGCGTACCAAATTGTACCACTTAGGTTAGTGGCCCAGATGAGCACTTTCAAAGAGACTAATAATATTGGTGGCAGTCTTTTGATTCTTTAAGACAAACAGCGAAAACCAACAATCGCTTGTTCGCGCTAACAGTGTCAGGCTCTGTACGATAATGAAGTCTTAAAATAACGTAGGCAAGAACTTTGAGTAAGCGAAAATTAGCGCTACCGTAGGTTTTATATCGCGACGCTATTTTTAGGTTACTCAAAGCGCTTACGTACGTTATTCTAAAACTTTCTTATAGTGAACGGGATATTTTGAAGAGTGAGAAATCAGGCAAGTTGACAGGCTGGTGATTGCGACTTCATTTTTTTACAAGTTCAAACACAGAACCCTCGCGCTCACAAGAAAAACTCTCCACAAAATACTGTCGCCTTTGTTGAGGAAGTCGAGCAGGAAAATCGCATTATCAGAAAGGCGACACTCCATTTTTGATAGTCCGCGGATCTCCACTGGCCCGCACCGCACAACCATTAGCAAGCTGCTGCAAAGATATCCTTGTCAAGGTTGATTAACGTGGAAGTTGAAGCTAGTTGGTATGCAGACATGATTAAAACAAAACAGCGCAAATATGATGGACAAAGCAAACGATAACCGGGAGGACACAGCGCTGTATCCTGTCGGTTACCTTTTACTTGGTTCTCGTCTTTGCGTTGCTTTGTTTTTAATTAGGTCTTGTCAAGGCCTCATCCCATTTGATAATATCGATGAAGCTTTTAATGTTCGGGTGAGCCCTTCCTGACACAGCTTTTATCTTACAGTGCCATGTCTCCAAGGTTGTTTTGGGAGAGGGAGAAGTGAGGTGGGAGCAAGGAGGACAGACATTGGACACTTGAACCTAACCAACTGTTAACAATACAAACGAACCGACCCATTTGATAACGAACAATGGCCGAAGCGGGAAGGTAGTTTCGGGATAGGGCGAAATGGGAAAGGATGAAACGAGAAGGTCGTTTTCAGTCGGGTCGAAACGGGAAGGTACAAACGAGAAAGCTGAACTGGAAATGGGTCGAAACGGGAACCACCCGTATCCACATGTCTCCAGAACGCGTGACTGAAGATAAGACTGCCAACCCCATGAGGGTTGACAGTCTTATCTTCACTATTTCCTTAGAGCACGTGGTTATTTTTATGTATCTGTTTTGCTCAATTTTAATATTCAAAGAAAAGTGACGTATTCTGTCCCCTTCGTTTTTCTTTTGTTCATTTTTTTTTTGCGTAAAGGTCATAGTAAGCAACCTCAACTAACCATGTTGATGCAATGTGTCTGCGTGGGGCAATAAATCTAACATCCTGCTGAGTCAGGACAAACGTGAAAATATATGTCTGAATGTATGACTGATATTACGGACATTTCTTTCAGGACGGCCTTACCTACGTAACAAGTGAGTACCGCTCTGCTCCTAATGTATTGTTTATTAAGCTTAATAGCATTAAAGTAAAAAAAATAAAGAAAAAACGTTCCTGTATTTGTATGCATAGCTGACACATTGAAAACAAAATGCGATGGGGAGGTAGGATATCACATCTTCATTGGTAAACAGAGAGCATACTTTGCATTATTCGTAACTTTAAATTATGTGGAATTTTTATTGACACATAATAATCTTTATTTTTGCGTGCCCAAAAGCAATCATGACGATCTTCTCAATGGTACACCAACACAAAAACAAAAAGACGGGAAACAAAACTCCAAAAACTCTAACATACAACTATGAAAGGGATGAAGAAAGTTATAAAGACATATATCAACGTTTACTTATAACTGCATTCCCAGAATAAAAATGCGGCACTATATTTTCTTCTCTCTCGGCAAGAATAAAGACATGCCAGCTTGACGCGCTGTAGATGATTTGCAGTCATAATTTGTAGCGCTGTCGGCGCCTCTGCGCATTTCCCGGCAGTGGCACCGACAGTGCCGGGAGATGCACGAAGCCTAAATGGGGTTTCAGACCCTCTCCTGGCCTTAATCAGCTATCTCTATTTTTCCACCGTGTCCTAGGACGATCATAATGGCTCACTAGTGAGGGGAGGCGAAATATAAAGATAAGAGAGTGCGCGGCTGGGGAAGAGGAGGATGGGGAAAGGTGAATGTATGTACTTTCAGATCACAGTGGAGTCTACGAGCCGATGTCTCAATCAAGGAACGCCAGAAGCACAGCGTCACTGCTATCAGCGTTTTTCGTTGAGTTGTATTCTTTGCAGCTAATCCAATGACATTCAGAATCTGTACCGTAAAAATGAGCTTTCAGTCTGTTTCTATGAATATGCGTGTCTTTTTGTCTTCGTCTGCGCTCGGACATGCCATATTAGACCAAGTGTAAAAAATCTGCGTACTATCATGGGACGATCATGATAGTAAAAACTGCGAAAAAGCATTATATATATATATATATTTATATATATCAATATATATATATATTTACAACGCACGCCAGTAAAAAAGGAAATGCCGCGACGTTCTTTTTTTTTTTTTTTTTTTTAATAGGGCTTTGTTTACATGTCTCCTTTTGTTTTTCCTAGGAGGCCAAAACGGAGAGCCCGGTCTAAGAGGGCCCATTGGACCTCCCGGAGAGAGGGGGCCCATGGGATTCCCAGGGCACAAGGTGAGGGAATTTGTGCACATTGTTCATTTCGAAACTTGAGCAAAGCAAACAAATTGCACCGATTTCATTTTCTCAAGTATATCAACAATATTATGCGTATTTTTGTTTAATATTCAAAAACACTTATGCAGCTGAGCATGAGAAGTACTTCAGAAAGACAAACCAACCTCATGTTAAACAAATCAGCGTTTTTTTTTTTTTTTTGTTGTTGTTTTTTTTTTAATCAGCACTAATACGTTTTATTATGATTGCTGGGGATTTATTACGGTAGTAGAAAACTAAATTCCCTATTTTTCGAGCCATCAAAAACCGCCTCTTAATCGCCCGGTAAACTTTCCTCCGTCAAAACGTTATTCAACTTTACACCCAGAAAGGGAACACGTAATAGACCAGACTGAACACGATCATTCCGACTAGCAATGACCAGTGATTTAGATTGTTTTAAAGGCAAATTGTATTATTTCATGAGTTAAATGTAATTTCGTTGTAAAGGCAAATTGTATTATTTCATGAGTCAAATATAATTTCGTAGTAATCATTACCGCAAATAAACAATAGGTATGGGTTACATGAGGCCACCTAAGTTGCTCCTTTTCTTTGACTGTGGTTGAAAAAATTGCGTATTTTTCCATTAGAATCTTTTATCGCGCATAGAGCGAAACGATATTTCGTACTATTAAAAAAGTATGGGAATAAATAACATAACTTAAGATAAACAGGGGATAACGTTAAATGAAATCCACTGAAATAAAAAAAAAATGTGACGAGTTGCAAATCATTACACTCGTGAGGTAATCACAGAAAACACTGTTCACCTTTTAGGCATGAATAAGTTCAAGTAATTTGTTTCGCAAGTCGTCAAATAATCTAAGCTTTGACTGCAACTAAATGTAACTGCAATGGATTACGGTATCCCTTTTCATTCACGTCTTTACCGAATAAGAGGCGTGTTCTTCTGCCGCGGTATAGGATGTTCCAGCAAATAAAGGATAGAATGCACGTGCGAAAAAACCAACCGAAACTAGCGAAAATTCAAAAGACGCTAAAATAATGGCATTTCTTTAGCTTTATTGCAGGAAAATCGCAAATACGTTTTCTTACAAAACAATATTTGCGAGGGACGTGCACTAAATATACTTGTTTTTCGAAAATAGAGTAGAACAATTTGCGCATGCTCTGAATTTTGTCAGTGTTTTGGTTGTTTTTTAGGATATGAAAACGCCATACAGAAATTGCTAGCAAGGCATATTTTACATGTAAGTTAGCAATGCTCAATCCCTGTCCGGTGCCGCGTTAAAGATAGTTGGAGAAAAAACCGCAAACACACCTACTACTCATGTTGCGCTCTGCATCAGAAACACAGCAAACAACGTGAATGAAAAATTGCGATATGCGCCGATAGCATTTTATAACAATAATAATAGCTTTATTTCCGACAATGAGGTGCAGTGTTTGGGGGGGGGGGGGGGGGGCTTGGGGAAAAAAGCTGTTAAAACAGCTTGACTGGTCCCGAGCCCCCAGAACTCACAGTGAAAACACACTCTATGTTCCGTAAGTCGCCGGGCTCTGTCGATTGCGATGATTGGCCATCTGCACGTGCTCTGCGGGAAAGTAAACTGCAGTGCTTTGCTCATAAACAGCGCGCATATAATATTGAAGTTATTCGATCAATTTTGTCCCTGTCTGCTTTGATCCAGGGTGACAAGGGAGAGAGCGGTCCACCTGGACCCCCGGGCCCGATCAGCTTTAGCGCTGGCTCCTCCTACGCTAACGTCCGTGGACCAAAGGTGAGATTAAGTTTTGGTATACTTCGTTTGGCATAGTGGACCACGAGATAATAAGTAAAAGGCTACAAGTGTGATTTCTGGGCGCGTCACGGTCGAACGCGGCTCATGGGTGAGAAACGAGCACTATACTTCGCTAATTGACTGGCGTGCGCGCGATTACAGTCAATCTGTAGGCAAATATTCGGGGCCGATTAGTGAAGTTATGGAAATCACCTATTACTAATAATGTATGAATAACAGTACGTGATACAAGTACTACCCAACTCATTGCGCGTGGCTGTGATGAACGTTGGCGGCACTGAAATGTCTAGTTCGTGACACGAGATGAAGAGGTTTACTCTGCTCGAGATTCCTCGGTATTTTTTTTTTTTAATAGCTAGTGAGCGCGGAACTCAATATTTATGGTTATTAAGAACATCAGGAATTACGGCTAAACGATACTCGGTGAAACCCCCCAAAAAAAACCTTCATGACCGCTTTAAGTGGAATATGTTTAACCGTTGGAAGCCAGATTTATAAGCACCCTTCGAATGCCACACCAGCGCGTTATGAGATTTAATCACTTGTTTACCCCAGAGTTTTGTGACTGTCAATAATGTCTTGCGCAAGCCGTGCTGGTTATTTCTGTGGTGCTGAGACACTGTCAAAGGAAGACTCAAGCTTTAATTTCTTATTTTATAACTTTTGTGTCTAAACTGAAAGATAACGGGCAACATTGAGCAACGAAAAAGCATTTCTTTCGTGACGAATAAGAGCGGAATGCATTGACATCTTGTAAACTCTGAGATGGGGAACGATAAAAATAAACGGACGAATACAACAATCCTTCCCCATCTCAGGGTTTACAAGATGTCGATTAATTACCAGCTCGCCTGCACTCTATCACTGCTTACAATTCTGAATACATTATTTCCATGACGAGAGTGCGTGATTCGATCATTGCATTAAAAAAATGTTAGTAATTACATTCTGTTGCAACATAAGATCTGCAGAAACTCCAGCTCGCTTGCACCTTTGCATTAATTGCATCTTAATCATAAGCCACACATATATTTGCTTGAATATCAGCTATATTTACTCTTTTTAAAGGAAATCTGAAGCACTTTTCAAGAAATCTGAGTCAAGAGCGGACTGCTCTAGCTTTTTGACCCGTTAATTCAGTTATCGGACCTGTCTTGGTACGAAGTAAACGTAAACCGCGTTTATTCTGAAAAATACGTGTAGCGATTGCCGCCGGGCACGCGGCGATCCTCCTTGTCGCCTGTTATCTGTACACTCTAAAAAATGTCTGTGCGTCGACTTTCACGCACAACACTCGGAGAGCCAATCACCGCAACTTACGGAAGCAGCTCAGCGAATGATGATGCCGAAACATATGTTTCGACCAAAAAACGCAGTCTGAGTTGTGACGTTAAGCAATGCAAAACGTCACGCTTGCATTGCTTAATGTGACAACTCAGACTGCGTTTTTTGGTCTAAACATATGTTTCGGCATCGTTATTCGCTGAGCTGCCTCCCTAAGTTGCGGGGATTAGCTCTCCGAATGTTGTGCGTGAAAGTAGACGCACAGACTTTTTTAGAGTGCACAGAGCCCCCAACCTCGTCACACACAAAGTTGGGGCCGGAGTTGCCGGAGCGCATTGATTGGCCTATCCCGAGGATGACTTTGCGCTTTTTTCGCCGACGTCCAACTGGCGAGCCCAGCAAACGTTCGGCTCCAACTCTGTTTGACGAGTTTAGGGTTCCAGAGCGTCGTCGCGCCATTAATGGCGTTCCCTAGCCAGCTTAGTGGCGAGCAAGGGTCATCTGAGCCCGCTGATGACGTCACTTTTGCTAGTTTTTTTCTCTTTGCTCTCGCGCTTTTCTACCGTCGGCGAGCCGCAAAGGGCGGGTCTACGCCGAAATTATAATTGGCTATTATGACGCTCTTACCAATGAAAATCGAAGTCAAAGTTAAGACATAATTTTAAGGTGTCTGTATTAGAACTTTCACTACCTGTTCAAATTCAAGGACCTCTCCATTTCCCTTCAATAGACCATTCTCAAAACCCCATCGAGCAACATTGGCGGTAAACACTTTCTGGAAACAAGGCCTTTGATTGGATCCGAGTCGTCACCGAACGCTGACGCGGCACCCGTGTCCAGTACATGATCAGTGTGCGTGCCCAAAGAACAATGGCGGACTTGTATAATTGACGCAGCAACTACTAGATGGCGTGCACTTTCGAAAATGGTTTATTGCCCGATGAATTGTGTTCAAGAGCTACCACTGAGCAGTGCAGTGTGTCCTAAACGGTATCTAGAGTGTTTTATTTTCACCGCAAAAGTAAACTGTGCATCGCGGAACGCTCAATCTCCGCCCAAATGTAGCGCTAGCGGTTCGAACGAGATGCTAAAGTTTTTTTGAAAACTAACCGTTATCTCATTCAAAAGTTGGAAGTGATTTTCTGATATTTCCATTGAAAAAATGGCTGCCGACAGAGTTCTCAAATACACGGGGCTGAATGGCGCCAGTTACCAAGGACGGGCTCCATTTTCCAGCTCAAATAAGAAAACGGTTGGCTATGAAACCTTGGCATCTGGTTCGTACCGCTAACTCTTCATTTGGTCAGAGAACGAGCGTTCGGCAATGCGTAATATATTTTCATCAAAAAGATATTTTTTTCTTTTTAGAAACTTTATTAGAAGAGGACTATTGGCGTATCAGCATTCTAATGTGCGGGCGGTACTTTGCATCTCGTGGGCGTAGCCTCTCCTGTGCATCTTATGTCGTAACAGGGTATAGATTCATGTAAGCACGAGAGTAGTAAGTATTCTTCTTCTAATTTCGTAGGGGGAGCAAGGACTGCCTGGACCACCCGGACCTCCCGGAATCAGCCAGTGGGTGGACACGTCCAATAGCATCAGCACCAGGGGTAGGACACGATTCCTCCCCGTGGCACACGTTCTAACGCAGTCGAGGGGCTCGGATGGCATGCGTAGGTGTATAGGGTGTCCACAATGGATCTTGACGCTGTAAAACGAGACGGAACACTCGGCGCCTGCACACAGAAAGTTCAGACTTTTATCGACCACTTGTTTAGGTAGTGGACTTTGTCTAATAAAATTTCCAAGTGTAGCTTCCTTCCTGCGAAAAATTATAACAACAGACTTACCAGGGTCAGCGGCGGGCGCGTTTGCAGACGACCGAGTTTGTGATTTTTGTAACTTGTTGCGCCATCTTCCGCTATCGAAAGATGGCGTAAGCTTTAGAAAGATAATACGTGATGGCGTTGATGACTTTAATATTAGTTTCCGATAATTTTTATCTGTTAATATCATTCACAAGGTGCGATTTTACCTACGGGATTGCTGTTGCGATGTCGCTCGTGCGGCATAAAAAACGTAGTGGAAGTATAGTACTCGAAACCGCAGCTGCGGAATCGCAAGCAAAATCGCACCTTGTGAACCAGGCTGAACACAGCGCTTTCACAATTGTGTTTAAGGCAATAAGATGACTGGAGTTGGCCAGTGGATGCCTACTTCAAGAGCAAAATAATAGACACCAACGCGTTTACTCTGCCCGAAGCTCTTGCACCCGCAGAGAACGCTCACAGAACGGCACTCAATAGCCCTCTCACACAATTCCTCGCTGCTGTTAACGCAGGAGGGCAGATCCTCTCTGGACCTCCCGGTCCTCCCGGACCACCGGGACCCCCAGGACCTCCCGGCACCGGAGGAACTCTCCCGCCCAAAAACACGGCTCCTCCGCCTTCCATCGTCCCGGGGGTAAACACCGAGCACGTCTCTTTTCTGTTTCAGCTGACGATGTATACGGCAACGGACGTTTTGAACCATCATAGCCATTTCTCAGCTTCAAAAATGTATCACGGCACACTACGCGCCCCGCTCGTCCCAGTGTCCCTACCGAAGGTCATGTGACGTTCATAGTTGGCACTGAGTTGGCGTCGACAAATTGTAGCGTCCCCTGCGGCCCGTCCTAACGTGAAACGGAGTATATATTCGTCTTCGTTCTTCGGCCTTCTTATCTGCTGATGTCGCAGTCGCATTGGCTGCAGTGTGATGATAACATGCTTGGAACTCATGAGCTGTCGGCGACTACATAACTATCGTTCTTCGTAAACATAATGCGACGTCATCGTCGAGTGAAGTGACTCTGCAGGCACGAGCTCTTAGCTTTCTCTGGTGGTACTTTTTCTGCCGAAAACATACGCATGGTGATTTTTTTTTATTACCCGTATTATAACTAAAACCACCTTCTTACGCTTAGATCTTTCTCGGGTTGGCCCAAGAGAGGATGGTTGTGCATGCGTTTAGAAATTACGAACTCAAGCTTGTAATGTGTAGCCTAAAGATTCTCCTACAGTTTACGCTTTACGACATGTACTTAACGCGGGGCACGCGTAGAGCGAGACACTGAGCTCCAAGCAGAAAACCTCGAAAATTGAGTAGCGTATTTTCCGGTTCGCAGGGGAAAGTTTGGGCTCAAAAATAAAAGTGTTTGCTTAAATAGTCCGCACGCCTCGAAGTCCGCACCTGGAGGGAGCTTAGTCGACACGATAATCTTCTCGTACACAGTACACTTTGACAAATCTGTGCTTTCTTTGCTCACAAAGATGCTCATACATAAGTCATCATTAACATACTCTTTTATTCACGAAATTCGTCACGTCTCGTCATAATAAACGATCTGGAAAAACAAAATTCCTGTATAGTCTGCACTGCGTAAAATTTCAACTATGAAACACGTATAGTCTTCGGACGATAGTTCGAAACACGCTAACTTAAAACGCATGTTTACAAAGAAAAACAGTTTTTTTTTTTCGTTTGCTGAGACAATGAAGATGTGCTCGCATACCTTTAATCCCAACTCAGATTTTTTTTTTTTTAAGGGGGTGGGTGGGTTGGAAAATGGGGGTGGAGCACTTAGAAACAGTGATTGTACCCGACTGGGGGGGTCGAGGTTATCATGGGGTGTGGTGCGGGCGATGAAGACAGGTTTGAAAAAACGCATTTTATTACTTCCGTAAATAATAGTCCAAAAACTGCTGCTTTTCAGTATCTTTCCTTTTCAAAAGATTGTCCGGTGATATCCGGAAGTTACTAAGGTTTTGCGCTGGCTACGTAGAGTGGACTGAAATATAGTCAGATGTAATGTATATTTCATTAAAAGGTGCCTCAATATTTGTTAAATCAATTATGAACATCAATACGCGACTGCACGCCAAGTTTCGCAAAGATGCATGGCTTGTCGTGCCGTGATGTCACATCAGGAATGGTAACGTGTAAGTCGCGGGCGTTGCCTTATTCCCGGTTTTGATCAACATGGTTGATGGTACGTACAAAGATAATCGTCGAAGAACTGAGCTTCCCTCAATTCAGCTAACCGCGTCTTCCTCCGAACGAAGTTGTTTTACTGAGACAGCAGTCAAGAGCTATCGTGGCTCTCTTTGCATGATGTTACGTCAGAGTTTCCGCTGTAGCCAACAAAAACGCCGTGTTTTCCGGACAAAATCTGAGCAGTTAGGCTCTGTTTAAAATTGAATTACTTTTGCTGAAGAGGATTCAAAATTCAGATATTGTGAAAAAGATATTCCTAAAAGCACAATCACAATAGGATTTAGTCGGTTTCTGAAACACACAATTTTATCGGACAGTACTTTTAAATATTCAAAAAAAAATTAAATATTGTTGAAATACAATATAAGAAACCTATGGAGATATTTCCTCATAATTACATATTACCTGAGGTCACCTATTCGTTTAGAGCCACAAAATCAATTTGACACGCTTCCAAGGTTTCTGATGCAATGGCTATAGCGCATTCGTATCGAGATGCGTTCTGCACCCTTTAACATCGGAATGGTACCAATTGAGTGTTAGTCAAGGAAATTCGTTTGTTCATCGTTACTGTATGGGCGGACCAGAACCATCGCAATTTTGGGGTAAAACTGTTTTCTTCTCTTTTATCTTATTTAACGCACGCAGGCCGTGACTTTCAAGAACATGGACTCCCTCTTGCGGATGTCCGACATCAGTCCGCTGGGGACGCAGGCGTTCGTGCTCGACGAGGAGGCGCTGCTTGTACGAGTCAGCAGCGGCTGGCAATACGTGGCTGTGAGTTTAACCCCTGTGGGACACTCCCAAAACTGTCGCTGCATTCTCGCCCCTTGCCACGTTTGCTCGTTCACCAACCGTGTTTCTGTTCCAGCTTGGATCTCTGGTACAGCTGCCCAAGAAGACCACCACGGTAAGCCTGAACGGACCCTTTGCAGGCCTTCTTCATTTTACCTTATATGCGTCATCCTGTCTTCAAAGGGTCACGTGACCACTCGCTCAAACGCTAAGTAATAATCATATATACGTCACTGACAGCCAAAGATATGCACGGCGTGGCTCATAATGTTCACGATTCTTACGTTACATGTTACGAGACATCATAAACTTTTGTTTAGGAATAATTTTTAGCTTGATTTAATAATAAAAAACTGTTTCTTTAAATGGCGAGGATTATATAAAAGCAATGCAAGGACAACTGCAAGGTTTCTAATGCAAGGAAAATTGGGCTGACGCTCCCGGAGGCCACACCCAGCCCGCGCGCCGTGGCCATCCGTAACCAGGTTTCGCAGGTTGCCGCCTTCTTGCGGATGAATGCTCGCTGCTTCTTGCGCTTTAAGTTGAAACCTAACCTGGGTCGCTCTTGGTTCTCAAATAGGGAGTATTCACTGGCGGCCATATCCGTGTGCGCTGCTGTTGAGCGCGTGCTGACGGCGAGCTTCCGCAGTCCTTTTGGAGCGTGCATTTAGCACCATCAAGGTTGTCGGTCTTATACTTCGTTTCACCTTATCTGTGAGCGAAGCCAAAGCTAAAAGCGCGAGACCAGCGCTTTTTGCGTTTCTCCCCAGCTCGCGCGCTCGAGCAAAGCCTGAACGCACGGAGTTTTCGTGCTCGCGCTTCCAGCTTTGCCTTCGCTCGCACATAAGGTGAAACGAAGTATAGCAGCCTATTGATGTGAGCCCGTTCTGAGCATGCACTCTAAACAGCACCCACAAATATGGCGTCCAGTGAATACTCCCTATAGACCGATTTCACCAAGCATTCGGCGCATGTGCGAAGCCTTTATAACTTTAGTTCACAAGAGGCAAGCGGTATTGCCCATGATGGCTCGTGTCGTCTCGTGCTCTACACACGCAGAGCTCTAGCTAGCTTGTGGCACGTGCATAAATACTAAAGTTCACTCGACGCATCGCAGCAGCGGTGGCGTAACTAAAACCCCTTAATGTCTCAAAAATAGCGCAAGGTGCGTCGATGCCCGAGGCACGTGCAACATGCAGTCCTTGGGAAGATCATGGCGGCACAGTGCAGCACTGAACAAGATTTCAAACGCCATGTTCTTCCCAGAAGTGGCGCGCGGCACGTGTCTTGAGCATTTGCACAACAATGAGTAGCGCCACTTTTCCCAGGGTAGATGGGCTTTAGGCATAGCCAAACTGACTGGTAAGATCGGTCTATATGAGGGTATTCACTGGACGCCATATTTAAGGGCGCTATTTAGAGCGCAGGCTCAGAACGAGCTCACATTAATAGCCTGCTAAGACTGACAATCTTAATGGTGTGGAATGCACGTTGCAAAAGAACTGTGGAAGCTCGCCATCGGCACGCGCTCAGCAGTTGCGCACACAGCTATGGCCGCCAGTGAATACTTCTTATTGGCTGGTTCATGAACCAGCCAGCACATGCACGTGGCATGTGCTCGCGACCCATGAGCGCTGGCTGATTTGCCGATTGCAAAGGGACTTTTGTTAAAGGTACCTTTAAGGCCTGTTCACACATAGAGCGGAACGCTAAGTTAGCGCTATACGTAAGTGCTCCAAGGAGCGCTCATGTGGCGCTTCCAAGCGCGTGACTTCGTTCTAATATAGCGTGTGATTAGCGCTTTAGTAGCGCCTCGTTAGCGCTCCAATAGTGCCTTGCTAGCGCTCCAGTAGCGCCTTGTTAGCGCTCCAGTAGCGCCTTGTTAGCGCTTCAGCAGCGCCGTGTTAGCGCTTGAGTAGCGCTTCTTGTACCGCGGTGCTGCGGATTAGCGCGTGCACTGCGGTTCCGGTTCCTGCGGTTGGGTGTGCATCAGCAGCACCATGGCGAACATGGGGGATGCTGAAATAGAAATGCGACAAATGCTCTTACATACGCGATCGTATGTGTGGACGGCTTGACGCCCAGAAGAGCCTTCTGGGGGCGCGAAATCTTCCGCCACCGAGATACCGACGGGTACCCTGCGAACCTTGTTTATATAGGCTGAGGGACCGAGGCAAAGATCTTTTTCGAAGGCGTTTTTTTTTTTTAACTGTTTGTCTTTGAAATCACGGTCACGCATATCGAATAGAAAGCGATGAGGTCGTACCCATTCAACTAGTCGCTCATAGTCCATGACTCTGGATCGCCTGCCCGACCTTTTGCTTGGAGAGCGGCTCTTTTACTTCCTCTTCTTTCAATGCCAAAGGAAAAACAACAACAAAGGAATCGCCATGCACGCGCTATTCCGCAGCAGCAAGCACGGCACAAGGAGCGTGAGAGCGCTAACAAAGCGCTTCTGAAGCGCTAACAGAGCGCTGCTGAAGCGCTAACCAAGCGCTACATCACATGCTAGGAAGTGCCACATGAGCGCTTCTTCGAGCGCTCACGTAGCGCTAACTTAGCGCTCCGCTGTATGTGTGAACCTGCATTTATGGTGGCCGTATGAATGACCTATTACAAACTTCTGATCCCCAAGATCCCGGCGATTCGGGGTCTTGTCTAAACACCCGTGTAAGTCACTTAAAAATAAAAAGCGAAGAATGCTTCGGGTTTGCGGTACGATCATATAACACAAAAAATATCATGCAGAAGCAGCGGAGAAAGCGTCTTATGTTTTTATTTTTAGTACTTTTTTTTTCTTGTCTGGCGTTAGAGCAATCTGCTCAGACTAATGATTTGGGCAACCTACTTTATACGTGTCTCTATTATTTTCTGCGCATTCTATTTTTTATCAAGCGATGTTCTACACAATACAGGGTACCAAGACAAATAAAGCTAAACCATCTATACGCACTAACATTTGCCTTTCTTTTTTTTTACCCTCTCCATGTTTTCAAGACAACAACGACAACATCGCCAATGTTGTCTCCTGATAGTCTGCGACTTGATGGATCTGCACCAAAGGTAAGAAAGTCTATAGCTTATTCAATATTCATTACTATACATCTTGTAATCTGATATAATTTTCTAATGTATAACAACATTTTAAATTCACGCTGCCGGGCCTCAGATCAAAAGAAAGGTAAGTCTCCACCATTCGGTCCAGTTTCTTATTATCTAAAATAACTATCGCGTTCCTTTTCTTTTCATCGACCCCTTATTAATAGAGAAGTGATCATATACGAAGAAACTATTTAAAGTGCTGTGGATAAACGAAGTTGGAGAGCACCGAGTTCTGGGCGAAATCCATTTTTCGCTTTCTGTTCACGAAACGTAGATCTAGCTCTGTAGTGTGATGATCTGGAAGCTTCTAGTCCCTCTCAATGGTGTGTGCGATAGTTGGATAGTGTGTAATTCTATATTTTTGAAAGTTTATGGTTTTAAGCGGCCGTCGACAAGCCGACAATGCAAGGCAGCTCTCGTGTGCGCTTCCGAGCTGCCACAGCAAGGGGCCACCGCGGTCAGCACCGATGCACCGCCGCACGCCGCCCATCTCTCGCAAATACGGTCTCTTCCGGTAATACTTAAACTCAGAGAGATGAATCATTGCAATACTCTTCTCCGAAAGCTGAGCATGAACGGTTGCTCTAATCTGAAGCAAAACTGAACCATGCAGAAACCAATGACCCTTTATTTCCAAGGGAGAGCTAGCCAGTAATTCCTTTTTATAGATAATCCTATGTTCAAGGGGAAAGCTTGGTTCACATTTTTCAAGTTAAAAGTTAGTGCATCGTCCTTGAAAAGGATTATTCAATATATGCCAAAGACAGGCCACACATCCGGCTTCAAAGTAAAATTGTACCATATTGTACCAATGTAACACTTATGCCCGTTTGCATTTCCCGGTATTCTTATGTCGAAAGTGACGTCACAGCTCACAACAAACTGTAGTGAGTCAGCCGAGTCGATCGCCTGCTATGAATAAGCTCAAGGCTTTCGTTTTCCAGTCACGCCAACAAATTGTCGACCGTAAACACGCTACTTTCCTCAACTGCATGAATCGACCAGAAAGTTTAAAATGAGCCTGCGTGAAGTTGTTTATGTGCTCCTTTTTTATTCCATTATCACTTAAAACAGAATGGCAGTTTGTTTATACGGAGGTCAACGGGAACGTGAACTCACTTCGGTGTATCAGTATTTCGTTACATGTATAATCTTGTTTCTAAAATTTGCGCCGCAGCAGAGTAAAAAAAACGCACTGCTTCAAGTGTCGAGCAAAGGTTGCAGACGAGCGAACGAAAGCGTCGACAAAGCGCCGCGGAGCGGCATTACCGTAACGGCCGCCGTTCGTTAAAGGGGTACTCCGCCGATTTTTGAGCTACCTCAACTAACTATATTTTCTGACTCCCAGGCCTTTACCCTTTCTGGAATGCTATTTAATATCGTGAAATTCATAATAGTTATTGCGAAATCGGCAAATGAAAATGATGCAAAAACAGACATTCAAATATACCCGCCCTTTTCAGGGCCGTGACGTCAGTGGAAGTTCAGCTTGCCAGTCGGGCGGTCAGTCTAAAAAATAGAATATGCCAATTATTTGTTCCGTGCTGGAGCGCGGGGACTGGAGCGAGCTTCCAAGGCATTCATTTGACACCATGAAACTGCTTCAAATCAGTTGGGAACAAATTCTACAGTCCAAAGAGTGAACCCCTGCACTTCCAATGACGTCACTTTTTCATTGTTGCCAGTAGAGACTTTCAGTTTGAAAAACACGGTGAGGACCAAAATTGTAAATTCAATAACTTCGTGAAAAAAAATTATTTTGACCTAATATTTGGGATACTATTTTGGCGATGTTGTTTGGCAAGTTTAGCAAAATTTCAAGCAAGTCGGGGACCATGAAGAAATCGGCGGAGTACCCCTTTAAGGGGCAACATTAGCAGCTATATTTACGTTCAAATTATGAGTCGCGTTAGTTCCATATAAAAATTCCCGTCTCAAATATATGTGTTTAGCAACAAAATGGTGAATTGGGCTAGCCGGGTATTTAAAAAAGTAGTCATTAGTCGTGTAGACAGCAGGATCGTGTATAGCATGCCACAGTATGGCGACTTTTGTTACCCACTAAAGACGATAAATACAGCCAGCGCAGTACGACTGAAAGCCTGGGGCATTGGACGTGCATCGCACAGTAGTGATACACGCTCGCACCCCGGTACGATGTTCATCCAGATCAAAACGGGCAGGGGTAAGAATTGAATCAGTACCACCCAGCAGACAAAATCTGGGCCATGGAGGCAAGAAGATTCCGGAAGCGACATGACGCCACCAGAAATGAAGCAAAAAGTGTGGAGGGACACGCCCCCAACGATGACCAAAACCACCGGCACTAGAAGGTGACCACAACAGCTATGGTTTTGCTCATCGTTGGGCGCGTGTCCCTTCAGACTTCTGGCTTCCCCTCTGGTGACGTCATGTTGCTCTCCAGAAGCTTCTTACCTCCATGATCTGGGCCTTCCAAACGTCATCAGCAGCGGATCCACGCAGCGACGCCTACCTTGCGTCAGCACCATCGACAGCGCGTGTTGCAGAGTCCCACAACGTGTGCGATTTTAGCAAGCGGCGACGCCAAGACGGACGCATGTGCCGCTTTGCGGTGATTCTCGTCGAGATTCGGCGGGTTTGCCGCAAGGGGCGGGTCGGGTGATCCAGTAACGATTACGTGATGCGCAAACATTGTCGTCTAGGTAAAAAGTTATATAACCCAGGATTTCTGGGTTCTGCAGCGCGAGCTGTACAGATGGTTCATTGCGCACTGAACTTGTCAAAAGGCAGGGACGGAGTAAAGACGACGACAACACTGGTTTTTTTCTATTTTCCGCGCGCCACCGGGACGCGTCATCCCCTTGAGAAGCACACTTCACCCACACATTCGTAACACTGCGGTTAAGCAGCAGGGCGAGGGGCCGCCAAACGGGAATAGTGCCATTATACTCCGTCTCATCCTACGATGGACCCCGGGTCCAATCACGAGCCTGTTAGAAACCACGTGGTATATTTGCTTCGTCGTGCGTATCAGTGCGCCAAGATGGTCATGCGGAGGCAAGTTTTTTCGTCTGCTTCTTGAGCCCTCGCGGCGGCTTCGACTGCTTGCGACTACCTGAACACTACTAAAGGGATTACATACCGTCAAGAATGAACAGTATTTCAAATACAAGTATTTGAAATACGTATTTCATATCCTTTGTGTATTTTTCATTTGTATTTAATTACATATTGGGTAATGTATTTGACGTGTGTATTTAAATACTAAAACGTGGGTATTTCAAATACAATTGTAATTAAAAACAATTTTGTGGGCGAAAATACACCCCTCAAATTTATTGTCAGTGTCCAGACCAGGAAGAAAACTACGTTCTGCACCGAATGCAGTGTCTCTCAATCAAGCACAAGCGTTTAGTGACTTTGTGATTACGGTGCTTTGTCCAGGGCAAGAATAGTGACGAAATCGACGTTCACGGGCAGTCTGGCTAAATAAGTGCCTGTGACAACTTGTGATGCATTCCAGCCTGATTTCCATCCACATTTTTTGACTGGAACATTCTACATGCGCGGGTCGTCCAGATTTTCGTAACTGGTGCGAGTTGCAACAATAAAAAATTCTCTAGCTAGTGCTGCGCGTCTTGGTCGTCTCGGTTCTTTGTTGGTCTATACCAAAATGTATAATCGACAAAAAAAAAAATCTGCTTGAAGCTCTTTACTTTTTTCACCTATTACGTCCAAGCTGATTACATTGTTTTGTGATTATATTTCTATTACGTTACTAGAGCCTCGCACACTAACTCCCGAGTGTGCGATGCAAAATTAAAATGAGATACCCAGAAACCCGTTGCAGGTGCCCTGAAGTCGCTGACGCAAATTTTGAGGAATGTATTTGGAAAAGTATTTGTCGGAGACCAAATACATTTGGTTGTATTTGTATCTTGTTCTGGAATGCTTTTTTGGAAATTTCATTAGATTTGTAGTTAAATACATTTTTGACGAAGTATTTTGCGTTTGTATTTCGATACATATTTGCATGTATTTTGCCCTTCCCTGCATACCGTATGGAAGCAATGTGGCGATGAGAACCCGGCATCAGAACCAGTGGCCATTAATAAATGAAGATGAGTCGGATTTAGTGTTTGACACGGGAGCGTATGAACGAACCACGGGCGGAAACCAGATACGGGTCTGAGTACGTACACAAAGATTGCATTGGATTGGATTGTTACGGCTAAGGCGAAACGACGTTATGCCAGTGTTGCATGCGCGCCCTCCAACTTCTCCAAACAGTTGACATATTTACGAAGAATGGTCATGAACGTTTATGAAACTAAAAACCATGTACCTTTGCTTCACCAATAACACATAGAGCGCTTTCACAAGAACCATATATATACGTAAGATTAGTGCTCTTCGTACTCTGCGTATCAGAATTTCTCTCGCGCACTTTTTGCAATGCGGACGCAAGCGTTTCTACGCTTCTACGGTAGTGCTTCGCCCGCCAGCCTTCGGGCCCTAGTCCATCGCAGGATGAGACGGGCTATAGGGAGTTTTAGCAAACCGTTACCGTGTTCCGCGTAGCGCACTACCACAGCCTTTGAAATAGGCTTTCAAGCGTGCGCCATGGGTGATACCGTGACCGTGGGCGCGCGCTTGAAAGAATGCTTCAAAGGCTACGGCAGTGCGGTACACGAACACGGTAACGGTTTTGCTAAAAGTCCCTATTATCCCACTCTTCGCCCGCGTCAACAGCAGAAGAAGCTCCTCTTGCACGAATTTCGGGTGATAATAGGGGCTTTTAGCAAACCGCTACAGTATATATACTAACGTTACCGTGGGCCCGACTGCGCATGTGTGACCGCGTACCGTTAAAATCTTGTAAATTTTTAGTTTAACGTACAGGGGACTCGTACCGTGCTACCGGAGCTCGACCGCAGCATACCCTGGTGACAAAAGTTGACGGCAATAGATACTTTAAA